ATAAGAATTAATGTTCAGGATATCAGCTGATTTGATTGTTTACCTTAGAAGATGCGAGAGCAAGATGATTTAGTGCATATGATAAAAAAAACCAAAAGAAAGACCACAGAAAGGCTAATACAATATATGAAGCGCTACGGACCACAGTTTTTCTTGTTGTAAGAGAAACAGTCATGATTCCAAATTGTATATGTAATATTTCGGTGGTTGTCTTGTTTATATTTAGTGAATTATTATGATATTGGACATCGATTAGAGGAGACTTTGATCAACCGGACGTCGTTTTAGTAATATATGATGTCACATTGGACGTCAATTAGAGGGTAAAAATATTAAACACTTATTAGAGAACATGCCGTCACATGGATGTACATTTGAGGAAAAGGACGTTGATTAGAGACTGGACGTTGATCTGAGTCTAACATATATTATAACCCAAGACACCTTTTGTAACTATTATTAAAGAAAAATAGGTACAGTTTAAAACCAGTTTAAAACAAATTTAATGGGACATACCCTCCAAACAATTTACTTGAATATCCTGCATATACATACATACATAAGATTAACAATGTATGACGTTGTAGGGATATTGTGCACCTTCTCGTTTGTATAATAAACAGCTGCACCAAGAGCTCATGCATGATACACTTTTATTGTGCATATTGAGATTGTTGCAAAAATAAAATTGGACATTTTGAAGGCATTTAATTAGAAGCAAATATTCTCTGTTGACACAGAGATATGTCTCGCCTGCAATATTGCTAATGAATTCAAAGTGGCTGGACCATGAACTAGAGGGCAGGGCCTCGAAATGGTGAACAAACTGAGATGTACAGACAGTAATGTAACTTTATAGAAAATATTGTTGTCTATTGTAAGTAGTTCCTGGCGAACTAACTTAAGCAGAAACATTGAATATTGCTAATTAATCCAAATCACTGTACCATGACCTAGGGGGTAGGGCCTCAAAATAGTTGTCAAACTATGTACTGACAGTAATGCATCTTCATACAAAATATCATTGATCTATCAGAAATAGTTCTTATAATTAACATAAGCAGAAAGCATAACATTTGTTGACACCGATGACGACAACAAAAGTCGTCTCCAGAAAAGCAATACCTATGTCTCGCCTTCCGTTTCGTGGCAAATGAGAGAAAAATTGCTCTTTAGAAAACCATGAGTTAGAATACCCTTACAGTATAATTATTGTGGACAAACCAAACCTGTAGCTATGGAATGGCATAGCTGAAAAGTAACTTTCTTCTGTCAATCCTAATGTTGTATATATACAGTCCGCCAAAAGTTAAGCACCACCTAAATATAACTGGCAATATTTTTTTTAACTATTGCGAAAAAAATATTCATGTTTGATGTTATGAATTGCTTATAACATACACTAAGAAAATTCATTACAACCAGAAAAAATAAACTCCGATCAACATTCCAAGCAATTTTTTATTAAAGGTCATCTGCACTTTTTCGAATACTGTTTCGATGCCTTTAAATCATCTTCCTACTGTCCCGCGTACAGGTGAAATTTGATCTTCACCAAGTCACTGTGAAATATGGCAAGGGGTAAGTTATATGTGACTGAACCTTGACAAGCAATTGACATGTCAAATGCCGGTAGGAGCACTAGTTGCATAATGTTAATAATACCGTTATTGTCAGATTCTTTCAACGTCATGTTGACACAGGAACTGTAAATGATAGACCAAGGTCCGGAAGACCCCGTTTAACTACCGATCGTGATGACAGACTCCTTATTGGTTGTGCTAAAGCCAACCCATTTACTCCTATCCCACAACTTAGACACCACTGGCGTCAAGGTGGTCATGTTGGTGTTCGAACATTGGTCCGTCGACTTCATAGCGGCTACCTATGTTGTCAAGAGACCTACTCTAACAGCCAGGCACCGTATGATCAGGTTTCAAAGGGCTAATGACCATCGACACTGGAACATGAGAAGCTGGCAAAATGTTCATTGGTCAAATGAGAGTCAGTTTCTGTTACGACCAATAGACGGCAGAATACCAGTTTGTCGTGGAAATAAAACTGCTAATGACCAAAACAACATTTGCCCAACAACTGCATATGTTGCTGGTGATGTTACAGTATGGGGTTTCTTCTCATACTGTTGTAAGGTGGGTATGCATATTCTGCAGGGTAACATGAACGAACAGACATACAGGGATTTGGTGCTTAGAAACATTGTAGTCCCTCAGTTTGATAATCCTCCACTTGCTTCAAAACCCTTGTGCATGTACGACAATGCTAGACCACACAGGGCAAGGATTGTAACCGAGCACAAAGAGTACAAAGAGCAAGAAGCCATTGACACTATCTGTTGGCCTTCCATGTCTCCAGACACTTCCATGTCTCCAGACATGAACCCTATCGAACATGTCTGGGATGACATTGGAAGAAATCTCAATCGCAGAGATCCACCTTTGCAAAATCTTAGCGATTTAAGAAGCGCAATTATTGCTGAATGGAATAAATTTGCTCAACTAAAGTTCAGAAGGCTTGTACAGAGTATGAGACTCCGTGTTATGGAACTGTACCGGAAGAGAGGGTGTTACACATCCTATTGACTTAAATATTGACATGAAATTTGCCGAACATACCAAAGATTATTTGTAGAGACTTTTTATGATATTGGGTGATTAGTTGTTGTAAAAAAATAAAATCACAGTGAAACTTAAAATCCGTTTCTGATTTGTGTAATTATCGCTATTTCTATGAACGCAAATTTCAAATGCATAGAACCTGCATACGTGCACAAACTTAAGTCTACGGTTTGTTTATTTGCATATGTTAGCAAAATTGCTACATGAATATTTTCTCTTTTTCGAGGATTACCTGATTTTTTTAAATGAAAAAAAAATCGATGCAATAAAAATAGGTGGTGCTTAACTTTTGGCGGACTGTATATATTACATGAGAATTGGTTAAAGTGAATTTGAGTTATGGTATTAAGTGTTGACTGATGGATGGACATTGGTATACCGTAAAACATCCCATCTTATAAGACAGGCTTATAAAAATCAAAACAGCACATTGCTTATTGTGTGATGAATACCAATGTCATTCATTTTGTTTTCTCCCTTCATAGGTGCTGATGTTTCACTTTACAATTTATAATTGTCATTTTTTATGTGCTTACATTGGTAAATTAACAGAATTTATACATTTATAATAAGCCTTACATAAATTACAGTATCACAAACTAAATCATTATGAAGATGATTCAACTCTATTAACCCAGGGATTTCATAAAACAAGAGTGCACATGCTGAAATGTCTCACCTACTATACTGACCATTGATTTTATTTTGATAGTCTTACTTATAAAGTTTTACTACAAGTATCAGATCAACATTTATGATCCAAGAAAATGAGGTCAATGTCAGATAAACCAAGCCGGAAATACATGTACACCTTTAATATAATCATTCATACACATAATTTAGATGTCCTATTGCTTCTAGTATAAAAGAAACAGACCAAACCATGGAAATTCTATATTGACCAATGAACCATGAAAATGAAGTCAAGGTCAGATAAACCCCACCAGACAGACATGTTGACCTTAAAATCATTCCATGCATCAAATATAGTTGACCTATTGCTTATAGTTTCTAAGAAACAAAGTTAACCAGGAAAACTGAACATTGACCAATGAACCATGAAAATGAGGTCAAGGTCAGATGATACCTGCCAGACAGACATATACACCTTACAATCATTCCATACACCAAATATAATTGACCTATTGATTAAAGTTTAAAAAAAACAGAAAAAACACAAAAACTTAACATAAGCAATGAAACATGAAAATGAGGTCAAGGTCAAATAAAACCTGACAGACTGACATGTACATCGTAAAATGTTTCCATACACCAAACATAGTTGACATACTGCATACATTATTAGAAAAACAGACCAAAACACAAAAACTTAACATTCAGCAATGAACCTTGAAAATGAGTTCAAGGTCAAATAAAACCTTCCAGACTGACATGTACATCGTAAAATATCTCCACACACCGAAATAGTTAACCTATTGCATACAGTATTAGAAAAACAGACCAATACACAAAAACTGAACTATTACCACTGAACCATGAAAATGAGGTAAAGGTCAGATGACACCTGCCAGTTGGACATGTACGCCTTACAATCATTATATACACCAAATATAGTAGACTAATTGCTTATAGAATCTGAGATATGGACTTGACCACGAAAACTTAACCTTGTTCACTGATCCATGAAATAAGGTCGAAGTCAAGTGAAAACTGTCTGACAAGCATGAGGACCTTGCAACGTATGCACATACCAAATGTTGTTATCTTATTACTCATAATAAGAGAGAAATTAAGTTTATTAACATTACAAAAATCTTAACTTTTTTTTCAAGTAGTCACTGAAGCATGAAAATGAGGTCAAGGACAATGGACATATGACAGACGGAAACTTCATATCATAAGGCATCTATATACAAAGTATGAAGCATCCAGGTCTTCTACCTTCTGAAATATTAAGCTTTTAGGAAGTTAGTTAACGCCTCCGTCGCCGGATCACTATCCCTTTGTCGAGCTTTCTGCGACAAAAGTCACAGGCTTGACAAAAATGAGCTAGCCAGATATTTTTTTATCCAACTTTAAATCTATTTTTATATTTGAAACTAAACAAATTCAAGCCAATCAAAACATAGATCAAGAGATCAAGAGCACAGAAGTTGGACATACCACTTGAAATGATAAAGGTGTACATTGATACTGGAACTGTGAGTGTACATAGGTGTACATTGATACTGGAACTGTGAGTATACATACTTTGAAGTATGGAATGTCAGAGTGGTTAGGTTTTTGTTATACACTTCATTAATACAATGTGATTTTTTTATTTTAGTTTTACTAATACCAGACTTTACAGGGATGAAACACTGAAAAGTTTGATATTTTTAACAATTTTTTTCACAAACAAAAGAATTTAAAATTCTTTATTTCTTTTTTTATATTTTTCTTTCATTATTTCAAACATAATTTTAATTTATAAAATATTTAAATAGTGTAAGTTACAATGTTTAAAATATTGTTCCCAAACCACTGGCTGATGCAAATGCCATGAGTGCTTGTGTAGCTTGCCTTGTTTCTAAATGTAATTTTGATTCCTTTAACCATTCCTCTGCCACTCTCCGAGCTTCTCCTTGTAACTGATTCATATATCTAACAGCCATCTCCAGATCATCTCGGTCCATCCAATATTTTGCATTTGCTAAAATTTGGTATGTAGATAGTTTGTCTAGTTCTATTTCATCACTCGTTACTCTTGCATATACAGATTCAAAAATAAAGAAAGACTGAATGTAGGATAAGAAATATTTCCCGAGACCACCACCTGTCTCATCTATCATGGCAACTCTCCGACACACACGGTGGACTTTGTTGAATCTTTGGATCAAACTGTCATCAGTCCACACTCCCCTCTTGTATGATACCTCTGGGATACTTTTCACAATTGCTTTTACATAAGGATGATTTCCAGCTGCATCAGATACAGCTGCAATTTCATTGGCTAGTGGTTTAATTTTAAGTTCCCAAACTTCTATATCCTCTATTCCATGCATCAGAGCTTTATTAAGTGCTACACAGGCCAACCAGAGCTGCTGTGCTTTCCGTGATACTCTCTCTGATTCAGCCCTTCCTGAAATACAGTTTCCAAAAAATATTTCTTTTAAAAGCGTACATAAAGTATCTCTTACAACAATGAAGAATGTGTCCATGGGACACAGATGCCCCCCCCCCCCCCCCCCCTTGTAAATAAACTGCAAATACAGAAATTTTTCAATTTACAAAGGGACATAACTTGAGAACAGTAAAAGTGAGGCAACCCAAATTTGAACTTGATCTATATTTGGTGGTAATAAGCATTGTGTATAAGTTTCATAACATTTGGTTGAGGCAAACTAAAGTTAAGAACATAACTAACTTTAGGACCAACAGACAGAATGGACATACAAGGGTAAAATTTAATGCCCCTTCGGCCGCGGTAGGGGCTATAAAAATGATACTACTATTAGTTTCAACCAAAAACATTACCAATTCACAAGATATAGATATATCTAAAACTTAATATAAATATTCACATTGTTTGGAGTGAAAATGATAATTTAGGTGCAGTGTGTTGGCCAATTTTGTTATTAACATGTTTCCATGCAAGATGAGCCTTTTCAACATGTTTCATGACCTTGACAATCCTATGCAGTGACCTCAGATGATCTAAAATATGTTGCATCCATTAGTGAACAAGATTTGAACCCAAAAATATCTAGAACAAAATGTTTAAATAAATACAATGTACTACAATAATTATAAAGATTACCTTCTACAGCACTTTCTATCCCCCTCAATCTAGCAATCCAGTTAGCTACTTCAGTATGAAAGCTCTGTCGCTCCTCAATCAGTTTGGTATTTAACTCTCTTTCGAAAACCTGCTCTAATTCCTTTTCTTGTATTTTAAGTACATCCCTCAAATGATCACTATGTGCAGCTGCTTGTCTGGCTAAATGCTGACGTAATTCTTGTTCAAACATAACCCTAGAATCATTTTCCTGAAATCAAACATTTTCTAAAATATTTTTTGGGTATTTACACTATACGTCTTTTTGCAATGGTAAAAAAAAACAGGGAAAATTGCAGCTGAGTTTATTATCACTGATAACAAAAAAATCTTGTAACAAAATTGAAACGTTCCTTTACAATGTGAATATGGCCAAAAGATACTGTGGATTACTTCATTTTCTTGGGTACTAATTTTCATAGATTGAGGAAAAATTGTATTTGTGTAGATATTTGGTTTTGCAAAAGTATGAACTTTTCACCTTTAACATCAAATCCACAAAAATAAGTTAGCCACTAATAATCATGAATCCAAAGTATTAAAATAAAAAGGTCATATAGTGTTAAGTTTCTTTCAGTTCTATGATTTATTTATATGACTTCGACACTGACAATTCTTCCTCCTTCTGTGACTATAGAACTACAATAGAATATATGTAATTGGTATTTGATTGTTTATGGTAAGCCAATTACTATTAAAGATTGATAGGAATATTTGTTAAGCTTATTGAACAATACTTAAACTGAGTGATACTGTAAATTCAGAAATTATTGCGATGTTTTTATTGATGGTAAAAATGCAAGAGTATCAGGTGCGCAATAATAAAAACTTGCATTCATAAAAGATTTGCAATCTCATTTATAAGATGTAGCTTTTTTACCAGTGGTCAAGGATTCACAATAATAAATGAATGCATTAATTTCTAAATTTACAGTATAACCATACTATTTAATTTGGAAAACTTACCCATTTTTCTTTCTGTATTAAAAACTCATTTTTAAGTTTTTGCTGTTCATTGGCCACTCTCTGGTCAGATAGCCTGTCATCCTCTTGTATTTGTTGCTCTAAAGCCTGCTGTATTCTTTGTTGCTCTAAAGCTATCTGTTCAGCAAGCTGTTTCTGAAGCTGTTCAATCCTTCTATGAGCATGAGCAATCAATGAATTTAATTCTTCCTCTGTTAATTTTTTACCTAAAAAAGACGTTTTTATTCATTTCAAAAATATAATTTAGTAACAAAATCAGCATTATAACATACATACACTATAAAGGATTAATGGCTTTTTTAATTCCTGCAAGTTTGTCAATGTGTTTCACAAGCCATATTTTGTTATTTTGAAGTTTTTTGTAATTGGGAATAAATATGAGTTTATAGTAAGATAATAATTATGAAAATAAGGCAAAACTGTAAACAAATCTCAATGTGAATAGATCCTCTCAATGGATTGATCCTTAGGAAAAAAGTAAATTCACAAAAATACTGAACTCCGAGGAAAATTCAGAACGAAAGTCCCTAATCAAACGGCAAAATCAAAAGCTCAAACACATCAAACGAATGGACAACAACTGAGAAAGCTAGAAAAAATCTACCACCTTAATGTACACATTTTTGTTTATTTATACCTGTACTGAAGTGATTTTTTTCTACCCAGGTTTTATATAATAGTACATTATTTTCCTGCTAATTTTACAAGATGCACCCATTCATAAATTTATTTGACTTTTTTACAAACAGTTTAGCCAGTATTTTCATGGACTGTAAAACTAGTACATGAAAGATGACCTAAGATAGTTGGGCTTTTCTACATAGGCCCTTCAAATTGATTTATACAGTACTAATTTGAGGGTTATTCATTTATAAGTGATGCTAAATTAATTTGGTGTACTTTAAATTCAGAAATATTTGCATATATTTATTATTGCGGATGTTGAACAATGCTAACATGCAAGATAGATTGTTGCAATTTCAGGAAATGCTGCATGCAAATAATGCAACCAGAATTTTTATTTTTTATTTTTGCAACACCTAACCAATCACAATTTTTGTAATAATAAAAACAGTGCAAAAAATTCAGAATTTACAGTATATTCTTTTCATATTGTATACAAAATGCAAAAAGTATCCCTCAATTTTTCCTATACACTATCAGATGACTGTTGCAAAACAGAAAAAAAATTCACAAAATTTTTATAAAATGTTTTATGCAGCTACTTTTTGTCAGAAAATATTAACTTTTACTTCAAAGAGGGGAGGCAGGAGGGGTCCCATTTTGAATTGCTGAGAAAATAAATGCCAAATCCTGAATTTCAGTTAAAAAAAAATGTGTTCGTTCCACATCATGAAATAATTCCCAAATTCACATGAATTAAACTGCTCAATCCCAAATTCCTAAAAAGGTCCTACCTCTGCTCTTTGAATATCCTTGTTTTATTTAAATAGAATTTGATATCATTTTCAGTCTTGATAGAACATTAAACCCTTGCTTTAATAGTTACAGAATTGATCTGTACACTGATCTATTTTATCCTTATGCACTGACTGAGTGTGACTAAATGTGCTTCCTTGTCTAAAATGTTTAAGAAATACCTTTATTTTGACAGCATTATGATCCTCCAATAAATGTGGCCTCTTAACCCTGTATTTCCTACCAAAAACCGTATTTACCTCTAGCTTGACCTAGTTTAACATCAGGCATGATACTCTCTAAACAGTATTTACCTCTAGCTTGACCTAGTTTAACATCAGACATGATACTCTCTAAACAGTATTTACCTCTAGCTTGACCTAGTTTAACATCAGGCATGATACTCTCTAAACTCTATTTACCTCTAGCTTGACCTAGTTTAACATCAGGCATGATACTCTCTAAACAGTATTTACCTCTAGCTTGACCTAGTTTAACATCAGGCATGATACTCTCTAAACAGTATTTACCTCTAGCTTGACCTAGTTTAACATCAGGCATGATACTCTCTAAATGCTATTTACCTCTAGCTTGACCTAGTTTAACATCAGGCATGATACTCTCTAAATGCTATTTACCTCTCGCTTGACCTAGTTTAACATTAGGCATGATACTCTCTAAACAGTATTTACCTCTAGCTTGACCTAGTTTAACATCAGGCATGATACTCTCTAAACAGTATTTACCTCTAGCTTGACCTAGTTTAACATCAGGCATGATACTCTCTAAACAGTATTTACCTCTAGCTTGACCTAGTTTAACATCAGGCATGATACTCTCTAACTCTTTCTGGAACTGTTTCTTTCCTTGTTCAACAAGGTCTTTATATTTTAACATCATTTTAGACTGGGATTCCACCTTCTTCACCTGTGAGTCCTGCTTATTCAGTTCACTATTTAATTTGTTGAACGTTTCTTGTGCTGAGATCAGAATTTTATTCTTCTTTGTCATTGCTTGTGATTTCCCTTCAGTGATGGCATTCTTTAATTTTTGTAATTGTTCTCTGTAAAAGATTAATAAATGAAGTGTTTATTAAAGACACATACAAATAAAAACAGTACAATGGAAAAAAAAAATGTGTGATTTTACGTCTACATTCAAAGAAAATTTCAAAAAGCCAAATTAATAAGTTAACTTTGTTTTTTGTAAAATAGGACTTTTCAGTTTGAATAATTCATTAAATTCCATTTCAAAACATTTAAGACATTTTTGTTATTTAGTCTGACAGTATCTATAAATCTGTAAGTTGTTTGTTTTCATTTTGAAGTCATACAGTTGTCATAACAGGATTACTTATTACCTGGCTTGAGTAACAAGTCTGTCAGAAGAAGTAACAGCATCAAGCCTGGCTCCATATGCAGAGGATACCTCTTGCCACTGACTATCTTTATTCAGAATCTGTAATATAGGACATAGAACTATACAAATAATTTTCAGTAGCAAAATGGTCTCCACTCATTTCACTATAGTTGGGAGTTTTAATTACGAAATTCAAACACTTATCCATCAAGACTTATGTTAAAAATTTATTAACAAGAGGAATTTAGGAACCCAAGTAAGAGGTCCTTGAGTTGATCATTGGGGAAACTCCCTTTTCTGCATTATTTAAAAAAAACCCAGTAATTATGACCTTGATATCTTGACCTCTGAACCAATAGCGGCCTTCCTTTCATATGAAACCATATTTGCAAGTTTGGGTCCAATCCAATTTAAGGTTCTGAGGTTATTACTTGGAAACCCCTTTTCTGCACTAATTTCAATCTATTTTAGTAGCTATGACCAACCCTAGATTCTGATCACTAATATGTAACCATATAATTTTTTATGCTTGTTTATTTGCAATTCCATTTAAGGATCTTGAGTTATTATCTCGAAAATCTTTTTCTGTACCTCATTCAGTCTTATTTTAGTAATATTGACCTTTAACTAAAAATCTTTTTCAGTCTATTTTAGTAATATTGACCTTTATCTAAAAATCTTTTTCAGTCTATTTTAGTAATATTGACCTTTGACACAGTGATCTCAAAATGAATAGGTATATGTAATCTGATATATAGTTTGAAGACAGTGAAAACTATAAAAGTACAAAAGGTTATGCAAGAGTGTAAAACTATGGAATCATTGTAATTTTCAAAATAATCATGTACATTGGTCATGATCATGATAAAAAATGAACACCAAAAACATCCATAAAAATTTTGATAAAAATATCATAATGAGACCCAAACTTTAGCAATTTTTTTCTTCAAAATGTCCAACTAGTTAAACTCTGTCACATGTCTTAGCTGTGGGCTATTTCATTAAAACATAAAAGGTGGCAAAGTGATGACAGAGGGACAGTTCAAAAACATTATACCCTCAACTTTGGCGCAATGGATATAATATCCACTAGATTTGCATGACTGATCTACATGATCTATGATTTACAATAATGGATTATTTTTTCAAAGTGTTTGATGTGTCCTAAACAAGAGTCTGTAAATTTGATGGTTTATGTCAAGTGATTTAGGAGGAGTTGCTGATAAAAAATAGAATGACAAAGTAAGATAAGAGACATTGACCATGTTGACCAGTATGTGTGGACCGGGCTATGCAATCAGTAAAACAAACCTCAGATGTGTCATCCATGGCTTTCTTCAGGGCCTCATTATGTTGTTTAGTGGTTGTGATAACTTCAGTTTGTTTTTCTAAAGCCTGTTGAATGATCTTGTTACACCTGTCTGTCATATTTTCTATGTAAACTTCTAAAGCTGCAAAGGCAAAATTAACAGTTATCATTAATTTATTAAAGAGACAATGTCTTAAAGGGGCATTAGCTACGAGAAATAAAATATGATTTTTTTTCTTAAATCATTAATGAAAGTGACATAGTTAAATAATAATTCGCTTTTGGCAGCCAGTTTGGTTCAATTTTGTCAAAATAAGCTAAGAAACATCGCTGATGAATTATTCACTTGCAAGTGAATAATTCGACCTCATTCAATCCGTATTTTTGTGACCTTCAATTTAACCCCTTAGCTAGAGATGGGCAACACATGAACTAGGCGAGATGAGCTTTTAAAAGGAAAAGAATGTCAACATTGAAAGTGAAACAATGGTAAACTATTTGGTTGACTGATTGTTCCACAAAAACTCATTCTTATACAGGTAAAAACGATGATTAACATATTTTTCAAACCTGTAATACAAAATCAAACAGACTTACAAAAATCCAATTGCACGTGTTCGCTATCTATTCATATCTATATTTATGTTTATATCAGGTTATATGACCGTCGGCAGTCTTCGTAGTTCACCTCGAATAGCTCAATTCGATAGCTAATGCCCCTTAAAGGGAGTAAAAGTTTTGTGCAGAGTATCCATCTTGGAACTATGCAGTTGGAACTTAGAAGCATTAAACAATAAATGTGGATAGTGTCCACATGTGGACACAGATGATGCCCCCGCTTGCATATCATATAGTTATAAAGGGACATAACTGAAGAACAGTAAAAGTGACGCTACCCAAATTTGAACTTGATCTGAGTTTTGTGGTAATTAAAGAACCTTAGTGAGCGCGCTCACATACCCCACGTCCCCACATTGTCATTGGAGAAATAAAATAAGTGTAAGAAAAAAAAATTGTATCGGAAAAAAAATTGAATCATAATTTCCTGTCAATATGCACATCTACATAGTATGTCCTTATTATCTACACAGTTTCATGAAATTCTGTTGTGTGGTTTGAGAGGAGTTGCGATGACAAAAGGTTGCAGTAGTATATTGGGCAAATAAGTTCAAAGGGGCGTAACTCCTGGAAAAAAAATTGAATCGTAATTTCCTGTCGATATGCACATCTACGTAGTATGTCCTTATTATCTGAAAAGGTTTCATGAAATTCTGTTGTGTGGTTTGAGAGGAGTTGCGATGACAAAAAGTTGCAGTAGTATATTTGGCAAATAAGTTCAAAGGGGCGTAACTCCTGGAAAAAAAATTGAATCATAATTTCCTGTCGATATGCACATCTACGTTGTATGTCCTTATTATCTGAAAAGGTTTCATGAAATTCTGTTGTGTGGTTTGAGAGGAGTTGCGATGACAAAAAGTTGCAGTAGTATATTTGGCAAATAAGTTCAAAGGGACGTAACTCCTGGAAAAAAAATTGAATCGTAATTTCCTGTCGATATGCACATCTACGTAGTATGTCCTTATTATCTGAAAAGGTTTCATGAAATTCTGTTGTGTGGTTTGAGAGGAGTTGCGATGACAAAAGGTTGCAGTAGTACATTAAAGTAAATAAGTTCAAAGGGGCGTAACTCCTAGAAAAAAAATTGAATCGTAATTTCCTGTCGATATGCACAACTACATAGTATGTCCTTATTATCTAAAAAGGTTTCGTGAAATTCTGTTGTGTGGTTTGAGAGGAGTTGCGATGACAAGAAATAGGACTGACGGACGGACTGACAGACAGACAGACGGACGAACGGGTCAAAAACATTATACCCTCCGCAACTCGTAAGCATTGTGTGTAAGTCTCATAACATTTGGTTGAGGCTAACTAAAGTAGAGAACAGAAACTAAAATTTCAGCAATTTTTCTATTTGTAAACACACATAACTCTAGAACGGTTGTGTATAAGTTTTATAACATTTGGTTGAGACAAACTAAAGTTAGAGAATGGAACATAAAATTCAGCAATTTTTATGTTTATAAAGGGACATAACTCAAGAATGGTAAAAGTGTTGCCAACAAATTTCGTACTTAATCTGTATTATGTAGTAATAAGCATTGTGTATAAGTTTCATAACATTTGGTTGAGGCAAACTAAAGTTAGAAAACGGAAACAAAAAATTTGTACTTGATCTTAGTTTTGTGGTAATGAATATTGTGTATAGGTTTCATAATGTTTGGTTGGGGCAAACTTAAGTTACAGAATGGAAACTAAAAATTTTGCAATCTTTCGATTTATAAAGAGGCATAACTCAATAATGATTAAAGTGACACTACCCAAATTCAACTTGATCTGTGTTTTATCAGTGGAAGTCAAAATTAAACATTGCATTGTATAAAGCATTGATTGTAGTTGATTCAACTATAATAATGGACAAAGGAAGATAACTCCAATTTTAATAAAGTTACTTGATATTTAGAAGAAAATAAAAATTTTGCAATTTTTCCATTTCTAAAGGGGCATAACTCTAGAATGGTTAAAGTGACGCCACCAAAATTCAAACTTGATCTGTGTTTTGTGGTAATAAGCATTGTGTATAAGTTTCATAACATTTGGTTGAGGCAAACTTAAGTAAGAGATTGGAAATGAAAAATTCAGCATTTTTTCCATTTGTAAAGGGGCATTACTCTAGAACAGTACAAGTGACGCCACCAAAATTCAAACTTGATCTGTGTTTTGTGGTAATAAGCATTGTGTATAAGTTTCATAACATTTGGTTGAGGCAAACTAAAGTTAGAGAACGGAAACGATAAATTCAGCAATTTTCCATTTGTAAAGGGGCATAACTCTAGAACAGTAAAAGTGACGTCACCAAAATTCAAACTTGATCTGTTTTTTGTGGTAATAAGCATTGTGTATAAGTTTCATAACATTTGGTTGAGGCAAACTAAAGTTAGAGAACGGAAACCAATTTTGGGACGTAAGTATGTACGTACTTACAGACGGACAAGGGTAAAACTTAATGCCCCCTCCGCTACGGATGATTTCTTCACCATAAACTTTTTGTGAACGAATCAATTGTTTTAACTACTAACATATTCTATCAATGCACAAACATTTGAGAAAGTTTGAAGGCTCTAGGTTTTAACCAGTGAGAGGACTTGATTACACAAAACTAGTATCCCTCTTTTCCCTGAGGCCCATCCATCTGCACCAATCATTCATGTTACTTTAAAGTACTTTTACCACCTCATACAACCTTGCTTAAAATAACTGGCCTGTAAAACAATACTTTATTGTTTGGTTACAGTCAATCCATACCTGCATTTTCAGCAGCTTCTTCTGCTTCTTTCTGTTTCAGCCTTCGTTCTGCTTCCTCCTTCTTTCTCTCTTTTTCTGTCTTTACTGGAGTGGCAACAGGAGTGGTAGCTGCAGGGGGTGGGGAAGTCATGGGTGGAGCTGGCATAGGTGGTATATCAGACTGCTAAGAAATGTAACACTTTAATTTGAATATTAAATGAAATATGGATTTAATAGTTTATCAATTTATGAATAATGAAATTCAAAAGCATATCAGTACACATGAGCTATGTTATGGCAGACAGAAATTCAATCAAGATCAAGTTCAATGTAAAATATACTACAAAACACAGTTAACACTAGATGGCAGAAAAGAATTTCAAGTTCGACTTGACCTTTGACACATAAAAACTATTACTGTCATTCCATATGGAATTTATGAATCCAAATATCACACAAAAACCATACATACCTGATTTTGTGGAACTTTCCTTCTCATTTTACTCTCTTCTTCAGGTTTAGGAGAAATATTTGGAATAAGGGGACCTGGTTTATCTGTGCTCCTGGAAAAAAATCAGTTTTTGTAGTTTCTCTATTGTGTCAATAAATCAAACTTCAATTTTTACTACAGTTGTATCTAAAATTCTGTTTGTATTTACTTTACCAACTTGTTTCGGAGGATACTTTATTTCATGTTTAGCCCTTTCTAGCCAACTTTGTGGCAATTCATTTTTGCTATTTTCTAATATTTTTTTTAAGGATTTATAGGAGAGAGGATCCAAGTTTTACATATTTGCGACATTTACATGATTTATATTCACGTAATTTTCTTATTCGAAAAATTCCAGAAAATAAATCACTCTTGCATTAGTTAGATTACAGTATTCTGAACAAAGGCACTTCACGTGGTCAGGAAATTAAACTACAATCATTTAAATGAAGCAGTCCTTGAAAATAGAACAAAACTAGAACTGGGTGTGAACTAATAAAAGGAAGACCCTCAACCCACAATACTTTTAGTTTCTTTAAAATATAAAGTACTAAATTTATAAAAAAGAAAGCAGAGCACAAACAGTTTTACAGTTTTTAGGAGGCAGAGTCCCCTTTAACATCTAGTTCATGGATAATATTCTTTTATGCATATCCTCAGATAGTGTTATACCACTGTGTAAAGTTTCATCAAAATTAGTCTAGCCAATAAGGAGGAGCTGTGCTTACAAGTTATTACCACATATTTCAATATTGAAGTACATAGTTGACAATCTCTAGCTATACTATATTATATAAGTAAAAAAAAAATAATGGCTAAGGGAAAAAACTCTATGTTTAATATAATGTTAAAACATTGAACATGTGTACCCACCATGTGATGGAAATATTGTGTATAAACAGTTTAAGGCAAGTATCACACTGTTGGTCACTATGGAAGTAAGTAAATTTGATAATCTCCATTTTAACATGTAGGACAGGGATAACATTCATTCAGTAAGACAATATAACGGTGTTTTTTTGTTGTTTTTTTCATACACATTGGAATGTACATATTCTACTAAAATATTTTGTGCTTTTAATATTTAATAATAATTTACTTATGTGATTTACATATCCGTTTTTATCTTACTTAGGAGTTTCTGATGTTGGTATTAACTGAAACAGTGCATCAAAAGCATCTTTACTGTATGGTACATTGTCCTCAATCTGTTTCCTGAAGTTAGAATCATACCATGCATACCCAACCACACCACCAGCTGCTAATGTTGTCACACCAAGAAATTTGAAGAAACCTCCACCTTTCCTGGAAAAAATATTATTGTACATGTAAAAATACCATTACTCAATTATTTGGGGAGTGTGTAAAATGATGTCAGCTGTTCTGTTTATTCAATTTCAGTTCCCTTGCCCTAATTACTTTTAAATGTAGCCAACTACCCGAATTGTTTTATTTGTGGTGTTGGTGTATCAGAAGTTTATGTCTGATATGCATCAAATTTGTATCTTTTGTATCAATTTTTATATATACTAGTATATATATATAAAACGTCTGAATATAAGTCAACGATCTTTCCCACGAGGGCACTGGATCGTTACGAGTAACGATACATGTACACAACAAATATATTATATAAACGCATAAAAAGTGTGCAAAACAACACCAATAACAAAAAAAGGAAACATTAAATGTAATTATCTATAAATATTTCGGATAACAGATATCCTTCATCAGTATGATTATGATGTCCTAGTCCTAGTATATATATATATATATACAGAATGTATTTTCAGCCTTGTATCACCATCACTGCTGGTGATCCGATGGATAAAATCTGTTGTAGAGTCGTCACTGGTTCAGACGTACTTATATATATATATATATATATCTTAATTTCCTAAGCACTTATTTTTCCTTCTATTGTATATATTCTATATGCATGGTATGTATATACGCAAATTACACTTGGTTGAGTATTGATGTTATTTAATACCTATCAAAATGTGTCTAGTACATTCAAATTTTTTAAATAAGTAACCAATTCCATCAATAATCTATCCATGTGGACAGCACCACTTAGTTTGGGAATTTTTGACAAAATATTTTTGTAGATGAGTTTGCTTTACAGGTATTATCCTGCTGATAGATAAACTATACTTTGGTGGTGGTGGTGGTTGTTGTGGTGGGTGAGCTTCAAATGGTGTTGATAGAGGAGGTTGAGGAACCACTGGTGGCTTTGTACATCTAGATCTTCTTCCATGGATCTAAAACAAAACAAAAATTAATAGTAAATCTTTCTCATGTTTCTCAAAATCTTATCGAGATTCAAATGTTTCAAGCATACTTTATGACATTTGGACCTATAAACTTAAAAAAATGAATGGATAATTTGGATTTTTAGTGGACTGGACTGTCACAAGTTGCATTAATGACTCTGATTTCAATGATTATAAGTGTATTGGATATTCTTTTCTGTCTGTTGTGAATACATGTATATATATAGCACTTTATATATACAACAGACCAGAAAATGTTTTTTGTTATCTGTCACCCAAAGAGATGATTTTTAACCTACCAGCCTAGCTCTCTTTCACCACTTTAGAATTAAAGATGGGTTGAATATTGAACAGAAAGACGTAAACTTTGCCAGTTTGATTTTGCATCTTACTTTTATTCGTTGCAGTTGTGGTAAGAAACATACACATACTATATCATATTTAGTATATTTTTTAATTTCATATACCAGTAAATAGATTGATTGATTGATTGTTGTTTAAGGCCACTTTCAACACAATAGTGCTATTTCATAGTTGTCTTTATTGGTGGAGGAAGCCAGAGTGCCCGGAGAGAACCACAGACCTGCAGTAGGAAAAATGACAATCCTAGTCAATTAAGCATGTTAAGATTGGAGTCGAGTGCACCTGCTACGTGTGGGATTTGAAATCACAACCTCAGTGTTGACAGGCTATTGATACAGTAGTTCGAATACTTAGACCACTCATCCACCGAGGCCCCTTATATAACAATTTAAGTAAATACACAAGTTCTAATTTAAAACATTATTAAACAAGAATGTGTCTATAGTACATGGATGCCCCACTAGCACTATCATTTTCTATGTTCAGATTAAATTTAGAAAGATCATATCATAGGGAACATGTGTACTAAGTTTCAAGTTGATTGGACTTCAACTTTATCAAAAACTACCTTGACCAAAAACTTTAACCTGAAGCAGGACAGACGAACGGACGCACAGACCAAAAAACATAATGCCCCTCTATCATAGGTGGGGCATAAAAAATACCATTCTATTGACCTGCCATCACATGGTTATTTTAGGCTAGTCAGTTTTAGACTACCTTGCACCATTGAAAAACCAGAATGAATGAAATAGCACAAGGTGTCCACAGTTTTGAGAGAAAAAAATTTAGTTTTGGCAGTAACATGTATTCTTCTTTTGTGTCTTTATAAATAGATAATCTGAAAATTTGGGTAAATGTGAACTTTATAAGAATAATATGAAATATACGGCTGATAATGGTTAGGAAGCAAGACAACTCACCCCACTGCCAAATGGCCCCACAATTAAAAGGAGTTAATTCCCACTGAATTAAGGCCTGCAAACTAGCCCTACTAAAGAAAAGATGTCATATCCTGCTAAATTTAGGCCTAATAAACTCGCCCCACTTATGAAAAGTAGTTTAATAAAGATAAAACACCCATTTAATATATTGACCAGACTACTTTTCAATAGTAGGGCGAGTTTGTAGGCCTAAATTCAGTGGGATTTAACTCCTTCTCATGAGTGGGGCTAGTTAATAGGCCTAAATTCAGTGGAATTCAATTCTTTTTCCATAAGTGGGTGATTTGGCAGACCTTTATTCATCAGTATTCATGGTATTAAACTACTTTTCAATAGTGGGGTGACTTTGTAGGCCTATGATCATCCGGATTACAATATAGTTCATATGTAGAGCGATTTAGTATGGCCAAATTAGCGGGACCATAAGTGGGGCGAGTTTGCAGGCCTAATTTCAGCATGATTTAAACCCTTTTCGTGATTAGGGTGAGTAGGTTAACATGAGTGACTGGGCGAGTTGGTAGAAAGTGGGGCAAGTTGGTAGGAGGTTGGGGCTAGTTGATCTAGGGAGATTTGGCAATAGGGCAAGTTGTCATGGATTGCAAGAATTCTAATGGGTGGATATAAATCTTAATTTCCAAATGATATGCACTACCTAACCAACGGAGATACTGGGAATAAAACCAATGAACACACTGGGAAAAAATCAATGGACAAACTGAGAAACATGTTTTTTTCACAGTATGTTCATTCATTAAGCAGTCCATAGCACAGATCGTTATTAAATAAGGGCCCCCTGTAGACCAGTAAGCCTTTTTATAACAGTAATGCATGACATGTTGTCCAGTACTGATTTTTATCAATTCAAAAGGGAACCCTTAGTAAAAAAGACAATTTGCATCTGCGGTCCAGTTGCTAACCTTGATTTTGGGGGGCACTCTAGATGTTGTCCTCCACATTGCTAATCAGTAGGACACCGGCTCTTCAATTTGACTTCCGGTAACCTTCATCAACGACTTTTGTACTCAGCAGATGAATAACTTTGCAAGATTGTCCACAATCTGAAATGTAACGGATAAAACTTAAATACCACAAAATAAATTTTAATCTTAAAGCACCACAATGTACAGTTTGGTATCAACAAATTAAAACAAAACAACAAGAAGCTTAACTAAACTAATGAATCATATTGTATATCTTATTTTCTGTGCACCAATGGAACGTAATATTACTTAAGATCTGTTTCCTTCTTCTTTATAATTCAACACTCCATCAACATACTGATGATAACGTGCCGGGCACTGATTTTACTATGCCGCGCGTGCGTGGGATCTAATTTTATTTACAGTGAATAATATACAAAAATAAAAATAAAAATTTAATTTCTTTTTCTTCTGTTTTTGTACTATACATTTTGGTTAAAACTATATACATTGTAGAATTTATTTAAATGTTTAGATGTTTATTGAGAACAGATATTGGAATATGTTCTCGGAAACTTTCAAGAGTAGTACATTGAACTGCAGTTACTGGGAGAAGGTTCCATTGTAAGATTGTTCTTGGGTAGAATGAGTACTTGTAGGAGTCTTTGGTGGTTTGTATGGGTCTGAAAGAATAAATATGTGAATGTTGTCGTGTTCTTGTATCGGATTGTGTGAGTAGATTTGTCGGGTGTATGGCTACAAGATAATGTATGATTTTGTAGAAGAATATGATGCGTGTTCTTATTCGCCTTTTCTCAAGAGTTGCCCAATTTAGTGTTTGCAGCATTTCAGTGACTGAGCTGGTGTTATGGTATCTGTTGCATGTGTACCTTGCTGCTCTGCGCTGGACCATCTCAAGTTGGTGTGTTTGTGATTTGGTGTGTGGGTCCCAGATGCAGCTGCTGTATTCTAGCTTTGGTCTTACAAGTGGTATGTATGCTTTTTCTTTAACTGTTTTTGAATTTACCTTTAAATTTCTTTTAATGAAGTTCAGCTTTTGTGTGGCTGCAGCTGTGATGTTGTTTACATGCTTGTTCTATTTTAGGTCAGTTTGTATAGTAATGCCCAGATATTTTGTGGATGTTTCTTTTTGCAGTACATGTAGGTGGAGAGTATAGTCAAATTTTAATGGGTTTTTCTTGGTTGTTATCTGGAGGACTGAGCACTTATCTGGATGGAATGACATGAGCCAGTCCTTCTCCCATTTTGCTGCTGATGTAAGGTCTTCTTGCAGTTTTTGTGTGTCTTCTTTGTTTCGTATTGTTTTATAAATTATACTGTCATCTGCAAATAATCTTAGGGTGCTGTGTTTTCCCAATGTACATAAGTCATGCAATAGAACGTCAGTAATAGTGTGGAAAAACTAAACTAAACTAAACACTAAACTAAACTAAACTAAACTAAACTAAACTAAACTAAACTAAACTAAACTAAACTAAACTAAACTAAACTAAACTAAACTAAACTAAACTAAAGCTCACATGGATTATTTCTATTCTAATAGGACAAATTAAGGTCTTTTGGATCGAAGTAGTTTTTGTGAAGGCAAATAGTGACTGTTCCCGTAATTGAACAGACTATTAATATTGACCCTACAGACGAAGAAAACTGAATAAGTGACATTCTTTAATATTAAATATATATATTATAATTATATTTAATATCATACTTAGACAGGTTAGGATAAAGTAAAATGATTATGAAAATTAATTATTGTGTGAGTTTTTTGAAAAGAAGGAATGTATCTTCGTTACATCAAAATGGCACTGTCCAATGTAGTAGGTATTTGCCAGTGTATACAAAGCACAATTGAATATTTTAGACTTATATCAATTTCATTAGTATAATTACTTACTTGCATGATTACTGAAACAGAGTGAATTACATATTATTATATTTATCTAAGAAATTGGTTTTTCAACAAATTCGTATGATCGTTTGTTTATGTTTCCATGTTTTGACGACTTTCACATTTATGCATTTTCCCGTACAATGCTTATGTTCTTACTTCGTGGTTAGAGTCTTTCGTTCAATGGAAGCTGACGAGAAGTAAATCAGCATTCCAGCCTACAGTCTAATTCCGGAAAATTTGGGGTTGTCATATTTAAATAGCTATACTTTTGTCATTTTTAAAGATATTAAGACAAATGAAGTTCATTTGAAAGGAGAGATGACAAAGAAGCATTTCAAAAAGAGTTGGAAAATCATTTCCTGCATGTTTATAACTGACCATATTTGAAAAATTACTGAAGAAAATAACACCATTCTTATTATATAATTAGCGTTGTTAGTTTAACAGAGGCTAAATGTATGTTTGTTGTATCACAAGCTTTAAAACCGTGTCTCATGTTTTTAAAATAAATTCCAGCTAGGCACCGACCATTCATCTGTTGTGAGGTGCATGGTTGTTTTTTTCTTCGGACAAACATGTTTTCGGCTTAGATAATAAAAATTTTTTTTTTAACTCATGCAATGTTGTATTTATTCTTTCCCTAATTTTAAATGGAAACAAATTACTTTTTCACTTCGCTTCTGAAAAAAACGAGATATGGAAAAAACCACAGGGGTAATCAAACTCATAAGCAGAAGAAAAACTGACAACGACATGGCAAAAACAAACAAAAAACGACAAATGGACAAGCAACGGTCTGCAAAAAACAACATAGAAAGCTAAAGATTAAGCATCACGAACACCACAAAAGAAAACGGTGTGATCTCAAGTACTCTGGAAGGATTAGTAGATTCTTCTTTCCATGTGGCACCCGTGAAACAGATTTTTTTCTTCTTCAAGATATCTAAAATCCAAAAACATATAAATAACCCCCCCCCCCCCCCCCCCCCCCACACACACACTAAACACATATGAATGAATAGTCGGTGTCAGAAGTGTAAATCAATTGTTAATATTTGTGATATATAAGGTCAGCGGAACAAAAAAATACTCCATAATAATACAAAATAGATATTAAAAAATTACCTGAGACACGGTTGGGGACTTGTATCATGTGTTTATTTGTGCAATATAAAACTACTGTGTTGCTGCAAAACTAAAAGTGCTAATTACGAAAAATGAGAAATATTAAGAAAAATAGTCTAGCAATATGACTAGCACTGTGTTTAAACAGTGGTTCATTGATTCTTGATTCTCTTATTATCCCATATGTCTTCCAAACGTACGTTACGTCCCCGAGGTTGCCACAAACCCAATAGCTAGCTCTTTTGTATTGACATGAAATATTATTGATATTCGGTTCATTTTTTGTAAAATTGCCGTTTATAAAATGTTGAATTATTCGAAATACTAAGCCTGTATATCTACATCAGGCATAGATTGCCTTTACTTCGTAATCGATTTGGCATTCCAACTGTTTTGCCATATGTAGACAAAACGTGCGTCTGGCGTACCAAATTATAATCCTGGATTTTTTTTATGAGTTTTTATATCTCAGCATATGAAAATAATACAGCATTTTAGACAAAACAAAACGGTTGGATTTTAAAAGATAGACTGTTGTTCTACCGTCACTTAATACATCACCCGAGATAGAGATGCATGCAATTCTTTTTTTCTCTGAAGGCAACGTGCAATGCCTGTACCAAGTAAGGAATATGGCAGTTGTTTTCTACTCGTTATCATCTTTAAATCAATTCAAGAACTTGATAAATTCTTGGTCTGGCAGCTCATGCCAATGTTTTGCCTGCAAAACCAGTTAATTTCTGTTCATTATTTTTGGTTTAATGCTTTATTTTCAGCATGGCAATTTTATTTTATTATCTTTACTATAGTGCTTCTGCTGCTTTGTGCTAGTTTTAGTAACTAACTAATCTATATGTGCTTTTAATGTGCAAACCATTTTATTTTTGCTTTTGTGCTTTTATCTCAAAAGTGCATGTTTCAGTGTGTGTTTAACTTGTAAGATGCTTTTAAGAACTTTTGTGCTGCATGTTTATATACTGATATGAACTCTTGCTTTATATGTTTAATTTATGTGTGCATGACTTGATATGTATGTATGTTTTGTTTTATTTGTTGCTCTGTCGGTTTTAAAAGCTCTTCACAGCTTATGTTTTATACTTGTATTAGCACATACCGACTCTAAATAAAGCTTTATTATTATTATTATTATTATTATTATTATTATTATATTATATGGACTTCCCCTTTCTGAATTTATCTTGGAGTTTACGGTATTTTTGTCAGTCTACTTTTTTTCATTCCTGTTAGTTTAACAATTCTTCGGTATAGCAAATCTTTCTGTCTAAATAGGATAAAAGGTTAAAATTTGTATAGTAATAATGAAATCACCAAAGTAAGTTTATTCCTATTGGACATTTTGTTGATATGTGATATTAAGCAGAGACATATAAAAGTATTATATGTCTCTGTATTAAGTATCCCTTAATTTGAAATTAATCCGATGTGGTGCGTTGTGAAAAAAACTTTAATAAGGTAACCGTCAAATTTTTCATGATCCCAGCTATGAACAACCAGAAGAGACCTAATCTTTGTAGTGTATTAGATCAACTGCAGAAATGGCTGCGCCCATGAAAAAAATTACAGGTAACAGAGACCGAAAATTTATCAATATGTAGGCACAATTTTGTAAAATCCAGTGAAATTTCCATAAGGCATATGTTAGTTATTTATCCTGAACAAAAGACAGCATTATTTTAAGTGTGTTGTTCGTATCACACTCACTTACTGGTTTACTCTATATAAATTATAATTTTCTGCACTAATTTTCAAGCAAATTGATAAAAGCAATATGTTAATGTGTATGACAACCCATGATTACCTTTTATTGATAATATGAGGCAGGTGTTACCTGTGAAAGAGGACCAAGTCTCTTTAAACTATTTAAAAAATGATTTTTTTGCAACAGCCATACATTATATTCTTACATTTGTCATAATGTTTCATTTGGAAGCAAGTCAACTTGTACCATTGCAAACTCATACCACATCAACTCGTACCACTAAAAGTCAACTCTTACCCAGTCTTCACGCTTAACCACAAGTCCTACGGCATTGGCTTGTAAAATTGCTTTTGGACTTGTAAAATTCTTCTCTACAAGCCAACAGAATCCAACTAAGATTTTCAAAAAATTGAGCTGTGGGCTTGTGGACTCAAAAGTTGATCGTGAAGGCTGCTTACCAATGTTAACTCGTACAATGATTATGTACCACTGCGAAGTCCTACCATTGCGAACTCGTACCACTGCAAACTCGTACCATTAGAAATATATTAATTTATAATTATATGCATTGTTTTTTGAAAAAAATACAATATACGAATGTTTTATGAATTGTGTTGTCAAATCTTTTTAACAAAAAATTGAATTTCTTAATTACCATTCTAATTAAGAAATTATTTTCCTTTCATTGTGTGATTATGTCTTTAGTTAATTTATCAACATGTTTAATCCAATTATTAAATTATGATTGGTGTTATATAATTTATCAGCTTGGAATGTCTATTAATAAATAAAATAAAGATAAGCTCAGTTGATAGCGAAATATCTTTTATATATAGAAATTTCAAACTTTCTAAATTTTGGTCATAAACAATTTTAAACTTTTCAAAACAAGTTAAATAATATCTCTAAATAAATAAGACAAATCACAAATACCAAAATCTATTCAATTTAACTAATTTGAAATGATTAAACATTAAATCATATTCTTATCAGTAAAAGTTAAAAAATGGTCTTGTTCATGGGAGACATCAAAGCCAAATCAGCTACAAATTGGTCATTGTGATTTCAAATTATATACCTTTACAGACTTATGAGTTATTTAGTGAAATTTAAATCTTTATTCATCATTTAACACCATTTGAATGCATTTGAATAAGTTGGTACGAGTTTGCAATGGTACAAATTTAACGTGGTACGAGTTTGCTTTTAGTGGAATGAGTTGACATTGGTACTAGTTTGCAATGGTACGAGATAACTATAATTCTTTTCATTTTTATTTCAGGATTTATTCCTCCCCTGTGCAAAGCATTCTCAGCATGTTGTCGTGTGAAGCCAGCATTAACCATATCAAATAGGTTGTATACACCAATACAGTCTGCTCGAAACTACAGTATTCTTCCCAATGGATCATCTCCCATAAGGTGATGTATATTGAACATTGTTGAATGGAAGTCACAGATGCCACCAATTAAAAAAATGATTTGAAAGTCAGATGATTTTAATGCAACAAATATATAGTATACAACTTTTTTAAAAACAGAAAATTTGTTTATGTCTTTAGAACCTTACACTGTTCAGGTGTTGCAAAAATATTTTTATTCTTATTCAGTTTTCTATAAAATGGGATGGGCAAGCTGACTAATTTATATATTTCACATATTTTTAGTAGATATGAACAGCTTATATAAACACATGTAAACTAACCAAAGAACATCTTAGTACAAATAATAGAATTGAGAATGGAAAATTAAACAGGGAATGTGTCAAAGAGACAACAATTTGACCAAAGAAAAGAAAACAGCCCAAGGCCACCAATGGGTCTTCAACACAGCGAGAAAATCCAGCACCGGGTGACTGGCTTCAGTTGGCAGGGTTCAGCTGGCCCCTGAACAATAATGTATCCTAGTTCAGGGAAATGGATGCCACACTAAACTCAGAAACATATAAATGAACTAAAATTAAAAAACACACAATCAAACATTAAGGCTAGTTAGGGATGTAGAGATTCCACTTGGTGATTCAAAGGCTATTTAGGGATATAGAGATTCCACTGGGTGATTCTAGTTAGGGATATAGATATTCCACTGGGTGATTCTAGTTAGGTATGTAGATATTCCACTGGGTGGTTCTAGTTAGGGATGTAGAGATTCCACTGGGTGATTCTAGTTAGGTATGTAGAGATTCCACTTGGTGATTCTAGTTAGGTATGTAGAGATTCCACTGGGTGATTCTAGTTAGGTATGTAGAGATTCCACTGGGTGATTCTAGTTAGGTATGTAGATATTCCACTGGGTGGTTCTAGTTAGGGATGTAGAGATTCCACTGGGTGATTCTAGTTAGGTATGTAGATATTCCACTGGGTGATTCTAGTTAGGGATGTAGAGATTCCATTGGGTGATTCTAGTTAGGGATGTAGATATTCCACTGGGTGATTCTAGTTAAGGATGTAGATATTCCACTGGATGGTTCTAGTTAGGGATGTAGAGATTCCACTGGGTTATTATAGTTAGGTATGTAGAGATTCCACTGGGTGATTCTAGTTAGGTATGTAGAGATTCCACTGGGTGATTCTAGTTAGGGATGTAGAGATTCCACTGGGTGATTCTAGTTAGGTATCTAGATATTCCACTGGGTGGTTCTAGTTAGGGATGTAGAGATTCCACTGGGTGATTCTAGTTAGGTATGTAGATATTCCACTGGGTGATTCTAGTTAGGTATGTAGATATTCCACTGGGTGATTCTAGTTAGGTATGTAGATATTCCACTGGGTGGTTCTAGTTAGGGATGTAGAGATTCCACTGGGTGATTCTAGTTAGGGATGTAGAGATTCCACTGGGTGATTCTAGTTAGGAATGTAAGGATTCCACTGGGTGATTCTAAGGCTAATTAAATAGGGATGTAGAGATTCCACTGGGTGATTCTAAGATGGGTTATCTTATCCTGCACATAAAATTGGAATAATGTTAAAAAAAAAAAAAAGGATAAAGACTTAAGTGCTGATTTGGGATGATTTTTTTTTAAAATCTGCCCTGCTGTGGCTTTACAGAATAAAAATGAGAAGAGGTATGATTGCCAATGAGACAACTTTCAACCAGAGACCAAATGACGTAGAAGTTAGCTACTATAGGTCTCTGTAAGACCAAATGACGTAGAATTTAGCTACTACACTTTTCGAGAACTCTGGCATGATACATTTAAAAATATGAAAGAATTTCATTTATTTATAATATGACCTGCCTACTGTTCCAGTCAACAGGGAACAAGTTTAGTATCTAAAGGAAATATTTATATCATAAGATAATGACATGTAGTGTTTTTAGTTTAAATAGTGTAAATTATGTCAAACGGTTGTCTATTTAATTTTGCAGATCCAGACTTTGTCAAAATTTGCATTTATTGTCGAACATAAAATTTTGTATTATTGAAAACATGTATACCGATTAAAAAATATGTTTTCAAAATCAATTATTAGTTCTGTGCAAAGTGATCAGTGGTGATAGTCAAACTTTTAATCCAAAATCTTTGTCCTTAACATGTTAACAGAAGTGTGGAAATAATTGATTTTTTAAACAAATTTAAGATGTTCTGTGATTTATTTTATTTAGGAGAAGCATTTTACAGAATTACACGCCACTTGTTCAAACTTCTGTGAGAACCAGAATGGATTGGGCAGAGCCTACAATAGTTTGTGATAAAAAAGATGGAAAACCTCAATCAAATAAAAATGTTCTCAAAAGATTTAAAAGACTAAATTGTGGATTATGGATCCGAACCAGGGCTGGAAGAAGTAAAAAACTATGGAGAATGGGTCCTCAAAAAAAGTGGAGACACAGACTTCACGTTGTATGTAATGCTTCACAATCTACACTTCTTGACAAAATGGTCACAAAATATTGGAAGAAGAAAACCTACTTCGTTGATGATCCTTATGAACCTTATGAAAAAAGAACAAAAATGGAAAAGTTTGGTTTGGACATACAAAAACCAAAATTTGTTCCTTGAATATATGTCAAAATAAAATTGAATAATTGATTTGTGTGAATAAATATGTTAGTTGAATTTTATTATAGTTCTTTATCTTGCCAACAATTATTATTGTTAAGCAAGATATGGGTGTTTCTTTCCTGGCATGAATCATGTTGACAATGGTGTTTTCTCTGTTATCAATTAATGTTCAATTATCTCTTCAGATATGACATGCTGCTTTCACTTTGTAAACCCCAAGTGATAAAATTCTAAATATATCTATATTTAGTGATTTATAGCAGATGTACATATGTATGGCTGTTACAGTTTACCCCCTTGTAAATCTACATGTATTGTAATCCTTGTACAAGCACTGTCAATTTTGCGGTGTGAAAATAGAAATTGAAAAATCAAACGTTTCTCATATACTTTACGCAGTAGGTCAACTATATGTGGTGTATGAAATGATTGTAGAGGGTACATGTCAATCTGGCAGGTCTAATCTGACCACAACCTCATTTTCATGGTTAATCGGTCAATGTAAAGTTTTTGTGTTTTGGTCTGTTTTTTCGAAGACTATAAGCAATAGGTCAACTATATTTGTTGTATGGAATGATGTAAGGTGTACATGTCTGTCTGTTAGTTATTATCTGACCTTGCTCTCATTTCATGGTTCATTGGTCAATGTAAATTTTTGTGTTTTGATCTGTTTTTAAACGACCGCAAACAAATTTTGCAGTCGTATATTGGTATGACATTGGCGTCGTCGTCATCCGAAGACACATTGTTTTTCATACTTTAACTTTTAGTTTAAGTGAATGGATCTCTTTGAAATTTTACCATAAGGTTCAATACCACAAAAGGAAGGTTGGGATTGATTTTGGGGGTTATGGTACTAACAGTTAAGGAATTAGGGGCCAACAAGGGGCCAAAAATAAGCATTTTTGTAACTTGCATACATAACTTGTGTGTTAGTGAATGGATCTCTCTGACATTGTACCACAAGGTTCCATATCACAAAGGGAATGCTGGGATTGATTTTGGGGGTAATTGCCTCAAAATTTTAGGAATAAGGGGGCAAAAAACAAGCATTTTTCTAGTTTCATGACAATAACTTGTGTGTAAGTGTATGGATCTTTCTGAAATTGTACTATAAGGTTCCATATCACAAAGGAAAGCTGGAATTGAGTTTGGGGGTAATTGCCCAAAACGTTTAGGAATAAGGGGCCAAAAATAAGCATTTTTCTAGTTTCCAGACAATAACCTGTGTTCAAGTGTATGGATCTCTCTGAAATTGTACTGCAAGGTACCATACCACAAAGGGAAGGCTGGGATTGATTTTGGGGGTAATAATACTAATTGCCTCAAAATTTAAGGAATTAGGGGCCAAAAAACAAGCATTTTTCTAGTTTCAGGACAATAACTTGTGTGTCGGTGTATGGATCTTTATGAAATTGTACTACAAGGTTCCATATCACAAAGGGAAAGCTGGGTTTGAGTTTGGGGGTAATTGCCCTAAACGTTCAGGAATTTGGGGCCAAAAAACAAGCATTTTTCTAGTTTCCAGACAATAACTTGTGTTCAAGTGAATGGATCTGTCTGAAATTGTACTGCAAGGTACCATACCACAAAGGGAAGGCTGGGATTGAGTTTGGGGGTGATGAATCATAAGGGGGTTAAAAAAATTGGGGGGGGGGATTTTTTTTTCCTTTATTTTTCTTTAAAATTTTCCATTTTAGATAAAATTGAGAATGGAAATGGGGAATGTGTCAAAGAGACAACAACCCGACCATAGAGCAGACAACAGTCAAAGGCCACCAATGGGTCTTCAATGCAGCGAGAAACTCCCGCACCCAAAGGCGTCCTTCAGCTGGCCCCTAAACAAATATGTATACTAGTTCAGTGATAATGGAATAGATAGGTTATTTCTTATTTATATATAAAAGCAAATAATAATGATATGGTTTGAATAGGTAAATTAAAATTTTCAAAGTTCTTAGACCACATTCATTCTGTGTCAGAAACCTGTGCTGTGTCAAATATTTAATCACAATCCAAATTCAGTGCTGTATCAAGCTTGAATGTTGTGTCCATACTTGCCCCAACTGTTCAGGGTTCGACCTCTGGGTCGTATCAAGCTGCGCCCAGCGGAGCATTTTATTATAATATTCAAGTAATAGGTCAACTATATTTGGTGTATGGAATGATTGTTAGATGTTCATGTCTGTCTTTCAGGTATCATCTGTCCTTGACCTCATTTTCATGGTTCAATGGACAATGTTAAGCTTTCCTGGTTAAATGTGTTTCTCAGACACTACAAGCAATAAAGTCAACTATATTTGGTGTATGGAATGATTGTAAAGTGTATATGTCTGTTTGGCTTGGTTTATCTGACCTTGACCTCATTTTCACAGATAATTGATTGTGTTAAATCTATGTGATACTTGTAGTAAAAGTTTATCTTTAGGACTTTCGACATAAAATCAATCATGGTTATTAAAACAGGCAGTGCATTTATTATTGTGATGGTTGACCAATGGACACAAGTGATTAGTTATTGCTATTGTTGACCAATGGCCACAAATAAGTGATTAGTTATTGCCATTGTTGAACAATGGACACCAATAAGTGATTAGTTATTGCGATTGCCACAAATAAGTGATTAGTTATTGCTATTGCCACAAATAAGTGATTAGTTATTGCAACTGACACAAATAAGTGATTAGTTTTTGCGACTGACACAAATATTATAAGTGATTAGTTATTGAGACTGACACAAATAAGTGATTAGTTATTGAGACTGACACAAATAAGTGATTAGTTATTGCGATTTCAGGAAATGCTACATACAAATAATGCTATCTAAATTTAAAAGGCAAATATATTTTTGTGAAACATATCTGGTTCAAATTTTTGTAATGATAAAAACAAAGCAATAATTCCTTAAGTTACAGCAGGTAAATTTGTTGCAATGAAGAGTAATATATATCTGGCTGACATGTCATATAAATATGACCTTGTCTTCAAGCTATTGTATGTATAGTTAAATGGTAAGTTACATAGTGAGTATACATTGACGTACTTCTGCTTGAATGAACTAAGTATGAAATTTGTCCCCATATATTGTGGCTCATCTCAACTGAAGGTCCATTGCTTAGTTTGGCTTAAATCATCCTTTTGCTACAATGTATCTTTTCATTAGTGTTTTCCCTGAAAGTCACATAAACACAAACTTTAACATGTAAACTATGGAAAGTTTCAAAGTCAAAGGACCATCACTGAGGTCAGTGGGTAAAGAAATCTCCATGGAAATGATTATCTACAAAACTTGCCATATGTTGAAATTTTACCACTTCTTGATAATAAAGATTTGTTTTCCCTGTAATACATTTCTATGTTGTTTTGGCTTATATCTGAAAAACTACAAAAGCTAGAATTGCAAAAATGATCAGTGCAGCAGCATTTACCAAAGCCTTCATTAGGCAGAAATCCTCGGATTGCTCCTTGAAGAGTTATTGACCTATAAACACGATTTTTAATGATTTGTTTTTCACAGTTGAATTGAAATGGAAAAAAAACCTACAGAATAAAGGAATGATCTTACTAGTTTGTTGCTTTTGAAATGAAATTGTTTCTCAATTGTCTGCATTGATGCCAGGTGAGCTATTCAGGCTCCTTACTTAGCATATTATTTGAACAGAGGTTAAAAGGTTGAAATAACAGAACAACCATTTCAAAGTCATTTATTGCACATCATGACAAGATTTAACAAATGCTTAAATAACAGACAGTATCATAATAACGTCTCTATAAAACAAATAACAGTTAATATCACATACATACAATAAAAATATCACTATCTCAAAACACAAGCGCTAACATCTTTCATATCTCTTCAATGATATTTTTTATCCTTAACAAACACGAAAATCATTCACTAAGAAATATGGTAGTAAATCAGTCAATGTTTGATAAATTACATATACTTAGTTCTACCACTGCTTCATGTGTTATACAATATTTCTCATCTTGAGACAGTTGAATTTCTAAAACATGAGGCTTACCTAGGATTTAAAATATTAAAACTTAATTGTCATTAATGGAGAAATCAATTATTGCACATGATACAGTGGTTGAATCTGTTTCTCAAATGATATCTTGACAATGTGAAGGCAAACTTTCTATTTCCCTTTAAATGATATCCAAAAAATTGTGTTCTTTAAATCTGACGAAAATATGGCTTCATTATTATATTTAAATGATTAAATTCTGACCAATAAAAAGCTGAGGGCTATTCCAAAATTGATAGCGATGGTGGGAGGATTGGAGGCACTTACATTAATTATTGTGGATAGTTGCATTTTCATTTATAGAATTTTGAAAGATTTTAGTAAAATGAAAATTTTATATTATGGGTTTATGGGATTTAAAAAAAGTTCTTCCCAATGTTCCCATTAGTTTAATTCAGTAACAGCCCTCAGATAAAGTGATCCAAACAATAAAAGCAATATTGAACTGGTAGAGAAAAGTATGAATCGGGCTAAGAATTAGAATAAACTGTTGACACAGAGATATATCTCACCATTATGTAATTTTGAAAGTATAATGCAATTGTTAAAATTTAAACAGCAATACGTGAACATATAAACTATGCAAGGCTAAACAACCTCTGTGGATATGAGAAATGTTAATACTGATAATTGCATACCAAAAACCATTGACTTATCATAAGTGGTTCCCTGTAAACTATGCAAAAGTTTCAACTTCAATTAACTATGGTGAGGGGCAGGGTCATATAATCTCCATGGAAATGAGATGTGCCAATGTTAATACATCTGCATACCAAATATCACTGATCTCAATTAGTGGTCCCCCTAAACTGACCTGATCTCATACTATTACATTGTTGATGCAGCAGCAGGCACTGCCGGAAACAGCACGCTAAGTATTGCTTTTTAAACTTTACTGAGACAAGACAAAAAGTAATATAAATCAGCTTTAAACTTGCCAGATACAATTTTTGCTCTATCATGTCTAATAACTAGCAATGCATTTAAAAAAAAGTTCATTTTAAAATACAAAAAATTGATGACACAAAATGGAAAAGATCTACATCATTGTATTTTGATTTTTTGAAAACATTTATCAATCAGAATTCGAAGTTATATACAATAATTTAAATGTCAGTCTTATTTGGAAGATGTGTAATTTTTATCCTTTTTTCTAATATCTGAACTTTTAATGCCTATCTCCCATAATAAGAAATGACGATCCCCATGATTTGTTTAGTGAAATGAATTGTGGGTATTATGTTAATGTGATGATAATGACAAGAACAACAAAGATGGTGGGATACTAGCTTATAAATGTATATCTTTTCCAAAAAAAGTTCTGCTTGCAAATTTAAAAAATCTTTTTCATCCTTTCATCTGTTTGATAACATGTCGATTGAAATAACAAAATGCTCTAATGCTAAATGCATTCATGAGCCAAATTAAGTATGATTTTCCTGGTTTACATTGAATGAAAATATCTCGTAGGTACATGATCAAGCATATATATATTGGTCGTTCAATATATAATTAAATCAAATGGAATGTTCTCTACAATATATTAAACAATAATTTTAAGAAATCTACTAACATTAAATGTCAATGCGTATTCTGAACCTAACCAGTGACATATGTGTTGCTAATATTTTTGTCAGAATGGTGCTTTTTATCAGTTGACCAATTTACACAAATTAATTACTGTGACATACTTATCAACTTTCAATTGAAAAAATAACTTTGATCACATCATATCTACAGATATTATCTACTATGATCTACATACTGGATCGTATATACAATAAAAAGGCAAGATAAATATATCACAGTCTTAACAGGCCTCTTAACTTACTCTACAGTCCTGTATAATGAGACAAAATAACCAACAGTCTATAAAACTGGGAATTAAAACTTATCTAAATAATTGAATGCTTCTTTTTGTTACTTTATTGGGGTATAAAAGCATTGACTGAAGCACATTTTGTATGAAGTGTGGAAGCACTTCATACTATAAATGTAGCCACAATCAATGCTACTACAACCCTATAAAATTACAAAAAGAAGCATTCAATTTTTATAATTGCATTTATATGCTACAACTCAGAAATTACAAGTTATATCAAGCTTTTGGTTTGCTTTCCTATGCATTATAGCGATGTTGTCATGGGAATCACATGCAGTCATGAACGTTGCATTTCATTTGAAAAATACAATTTGTTTATGGAATGCCTCACAATTGTTATCAGCCAATCAAACTACGTATTCTTATGAAACATACATGAAATGTTAATTTTTGTTCACTAAAACCAATTTTGTAGGAAAATCTAACACTTTACAACATTCCTTCAAGGGAAACTATATAGAGATGCAGATTGTACTGTAGTGTTTCATCAACACAATTGGAATATAACTACTAGATAAAAATCTACAAATTGATATATATCACTTTTCAACCTAAAAAGGATTTAATGTAATTGGTTATTATCTGAGTTTCTCCAGTTTTTATAGAAACATCTCAGTCTCTAAGGATCATAAGACTATTTTAGCACTTATTTAGTATTTAAAGCCATGTTTTTTGGCATTTGTAATATATAAAAGGTTACAAAAAATATTAACATTTAAAGGTGGGTTTTCAACTATTTCCACTAAACAGTAGTGTGGTCTTGATTGTTGTATACATGTGAGTTCGCTGAAAGTTGTCAGACATAAAATAGGAAATGTGTACTTGGCTTTTAATAATAGGTAGAAACAGACTAATGCAAGTTTATTTTTGCTTTACATTAGTTTGCTGACCATCTATCAATCTTGAAGCTAATTCATGTGTACAAAGACAAATTTTACAAAAGCAACACCAATTAAGCAATGAATATGGTCAAACCACATAATAACAGTTCAGTTCATGGAATCAAATGCTGTTCTTCATCATGGAATGTCTGTAAAAAAACAAACTAAAAAACTTACATTATAATGGAAAATTCAGATTGAGACTGAACTTTCTTTTATGTCCAAAGATAAAAATTATAAGATGCACCATGTGCATGGGTTATCAATACAGTATTTAAAGTAACTGGTGATGTCTTTATGAAACAAGAAAACTCTCTCAAATTTGATAAAGGTGATTATTTAGTCCAAACCAATACAATTTCTACTTATATCAATTAGAATAAAAAAATGGAATTGAGTAGACAAAAGTTTAATTTCTAATTTTTCCAGTATTTTTACACTGATTTTGTCATTGTAGTTTAATTACAATTTTACCTTTAAATTGCAGAATTTTCCATTTCATTTTACCTAAGAATGATAAGGTTGAAAATATATCAATACTCTTAAAATTTTAAATATTTCTGTATATAATACAATTAAAATTTTTGTATATTCCCTCGTTGCATGCTTTGTGAAGCAGAAGAAATATAATGACTTGTGCCAATTTTTTAAAATTTGAATAACAACTAAATATTCGAACTAAATGCATTATTGATATCTATTGAAAAGGCAAAGGTAAATCTTTGTCATGGAAATAAATCAAACAGATAAAAAATTCTAGAAAAAAACCCAACTTTTTTTACCATAAAAACAAACACTTTTAGTGCAAAAAATTACTATTTAGAAAAGACCTTTTAGACGTTTAAATATGATCATTTTTTAAATAATAACAAAGAAATAAATAAAAGGAAGGGCTGTGATATGATTTAAAAAAATATCTTCAGATATGAATTAGAATTTGAAATTACATTACTATAAATCAGGACTAATGTATTAGCTTCTTTGTTTGTTAATTAGAAATATAATTTAATATTCCTGAAAAAGTCAGGGGAAAAAATGAATAACAGTAATATATAGGAAATATTCATATACAATGTACTTGATTCGTCATAAATTATGAAAAGTAAACAATAATAATGTGATGGTTAACAAAACAAATACAATGTACCTGTAACAAAAAATAAAGAGTGATCAAATACATTAAATAGTTATTTGAATGCAAAATAAAGCTTACTGCAGAAATATTTTTCAGATCATTGTACAATACATTCATGACATTATTAATACCATTTAAAAATTAACAATCTTCCTTAAACACTCAGATTATTTTTCTTTCTCTTTTCCTTGTCATAGCCCTCTCTCATTTATAATTCTCACTCTGACACCATGTCATCCTATCATCCCTCACACATTTTGATTTCCATCCCCCCCCCCCCCCCCCCCCCCCCATTTAAAAACTAAATAATAATGATCAGTTAATTTGTATTTTCTTGACTCTGGTAGGTAGTTCTACTGCACTGACAGTCAATGGCCACATTCCTCCAATAATACCAGCCTGTACAGACACACCCATTGCCACTGCCAGTTCAGGGTCTATATTTGTGTTCGGTTTCTTGTTGAAAAATTTATGTATCAACTGCCTAACCTTTGGAATTCTAGTTGACCCACCTACTAACACTATTTCATCTATTTCTTCAGGAGGTAGATTAGTAGCCTTTAAAACTGTCTGTATAGGATCTATCACCTTTTTGAAAAGATCATTGTTTAATTCTTCAAATTTAGATCTAGTTATCCTTTCTTGAAATAATGAATTTTTACCTAAAGAATGCAAATGTATACTAAGAAATGTGTGGTCAGATGATGTGAGATTTATTTTAGCATCTTCCACTGCTAAACGTAATGTCTGTAGATCTTCCTTGTCAGTCAGTGACTGTTTGTGTCGTTTTTCTATCACAGTCTTTAAATAAGAATGAAGTCTCTCATTGAAATCCTCTCCACCTAGTATATTGTTACCAGCCATACCCTGTGTTAGAAACATTCCTCCCTGAACATTGAGTAATGATACATCCAACGTACCACCACCAAGATCTATCACTAAAACATTACTAAGACTTGGTTTAGTGTGCAGTCCATAAGCTAATGCTGCTGCTGTTGGCTCATTTATTATTCTAAATACCTCTAAACCTAAAATATAACAAGGTTTTTGGTCTTTAACAAGTAGATTTTGCATGTTTAATTTACATATCAGCAAACTTTTCTGAAATCAGATTAGCATGATCAGGGTGACATTTTTGTGGGAAATCTTATGGGAGATCTAAAAAAGTCATTAAAAGTAGACTTCATCATTTTATTAAATAATAATCCAACTACATCTAGAGTTCAACATATGGTCTTCCATTTTGAAGTGTGTGATTTTGTAAAGCTCTAACAAACTAAAAGATAACATTGAATGAGATTCCTGACTCAGGAAATGCACATAACAATTAAACAAGATTCATACTCAATTCTCCCCCTTTTTTTTATCTTGGTCAGTGGATTAAACAAAAAATACATAAACAAACTATTAATAACAAGAGGCTGTCAGAGTGACAGCAAACTGGATTTTTTTAACATTTATTTGTATCCTGGCATTTTTCAATGTCACAAGGAACATAACTCCTGAATGGTAAAAGTGACAATCATCAATATTGAACTTGACCTCCATTTTGTCATCAGTAACAATGTATTAAAATTTGAAAAGCTTTGGTTGAACGGTTCATGAGTTAAAGCACTGACACCACACATTTTTCAATCTTTCAAGAACCATAACTCCTGAACGGTGAAATTGAAAATCGCCAATATCAAACTTGACCTCCATTTTGTCAACAGTAACAACATATTAAAATTTGAAAAGCTTTAGTTAAACAGTTCATGAGTTACAGCACGGACAATACTGGACACAACATTTTTCAATCTTTCAAAAACCATAACTCCTGAACGGTGAAAGTGAAAATCGTCAAAACTTGAACTTGTCCTCCCTTTTGTCATCAGTAACAACATATTAAAATTTAAATAGCTTTGGTTGAACGGTTCATGAGTAAATGCACGGACACTGTTTGGCAGTTGCCCACCCGCCCGCCGTACATCCCCAAATCAATACACAAAGTTTACTTCGTAAATCCGGTTAAAAATCATTTCAAATTTACAAATATATTTATGACATCAAAAAAACTATTACAAGGAAAACAATGATAAATTATACGGTATGAAAGAATGCTTGAAAATACTGTCCGAAAGCAAGCTAAAATTAGGCTGTTTGTTTTCTCATTTGAACTGTTTAAAAAATTTTCATGTTGGGCCTTTTATAGCTGACTATACTGTTTGATTTTTCGTCATTGTTGAAGACAATATGGTGACCTATAATTGCTTTTATCCACATCATTTAAACTCTGGTGGATAGTTGTCTCTTTGGCAATCATACCATATCTACTCTTTTATATATATCATAGTACAGAATCTCTTGCCACCAAATACTCTAATAATAAAACATACCAGCATTATTAGCCGCCTTCCTGGTATAATTTCTCTGAAGCTGATCAAACTCAGCTGGTACTGACATAACTACTTTAGTAACTGGAGATGTCAGATTCTGGACTGCAGCATTTTTTAGAAATTCTATTATCGTGGATCCTATATCCTCTGGTCTAACCCTTTTTTCTGTGTTATTGACTGATAAAACATATCGTATCATTCCATGTTCATCTGCTTCCAACTGCAAAATAAATCATAGAAAAATATAAACCAGTTCTGTACTAGTGGGCTAAGACATAGATAATCCTATTTATTTTATGATTCAAAACATTTGAAAACCTTTTTCATACCAACAATGGTGGTCTATGTGACAGAGTGGTCTAAGTAGTTCATCTACAGAGATCATTAACCTGCCAACACTGAGGTTGTGAGTCAGAACCCCCTCACGACAGGTACATTTGACTCCGATCTTAATTGACTAGGAATTGCCAGTTTTCTACAGAGATTGCTAACCTGTCAACACCGAGGTTGTGAGTCTGAAACCCCTCACGACAGGTACAATTGTCTTAATTGACTAGGAATGCCAGTTTTCTACAGAGATTGCTAACCTGTCAACACTGAGGTTGTGAGTCTGAACCCCATCATGACAGGTACATTTGACTCCTATCTTAATTGACTAGGAATTCCAGTTTTCTACAGAGATTGCTAACCTGTCAACACCGAGGTTGTGAGTCTGAACCCCATCATGACAGGTACATTTTACTCCTATCTTAATTGACTAGGAATTCCAGTTTTCTAAAGCAATCATTAACCTGTCAACACTGAGGTTGTGAGTCCATGGAGTCTGAAGCCCCTCACGACAGGTACATTTGACTCCTATCTTAATTGACTAGGAATGCCAGTTTTCTACAGAGATTGCTAACCTGTCAACACCGAGGTTGTGAGCCTGAACCCCATCATGACAGGTACATTTGACTCCTATCTTAATTGACTAGGAATGCCAGTTTTCTACAGAGATCATTAACCTGTCAACACTGAGGTTGTGAGTCTTATCCCCCTCATGACAGGTACATTTGACTCCTATCTTAATTGAATATATATATGTAAGACTCTAAAGTGTGATGGTACTCTAAAGTGCGATTGTCACGCTAAAGTGCGATGGTCTACGCTAAAGTGTGATGGTGTCTCACGCTAAAGTGCGATGGTTGTTTGTTTGCTAAAGTACGGTGGTATATCAAGCTAAAGTGCGATGGACCAATAGGGTAAGGTGCGAGGTCTTTAAAAACGTTAAAGAATATAAAGTTGTAAAAATAGTCCTTTTGTAAAATCTAGTATTCTAAGGTATACCATATGTGATAGGCATTATAATCTACTGGTAGGCTGAAGTGATTGTTTCTAAATTTAGAAGACCGACCACGTAATAATTGCTAAAAAGGTAATTTAGGTTTCACAAAATACTATATTTCTTGTAAATGAATTTAAACAATTCGGGTGTATTAAATATTGTGATAATTGGCGTAGCTTGCCATTCACACAGTCTATCAATAATGGGAACACCTTCCCTTACAGTCGTCATTGTAAATTACAAATACAAAATTCGATTATTGTCGTAATATGTAACATTTATTTGTTTAAGCTTTAATTTAAATGAGAGAAAAGGGCGATGTTCGCCGAGTTGTCTTCTTTTTCGTAGCGACTACACATACATGTTATATTTTCCTATAATGTACAAACTAATTTTTTAGCCGACAATTTATAATTTACGCATGCAAACATGTACCTTTATTTTACAGATGTTACTTTTAACGCAACAATATTTTAACAGGGACCGCAAAGTAAACTGCAACATAAACAATGATTTAAATGTATCTGTTTGCTTCCAATAAAAGCACGATACAGGATATTTATGCGAATACTATTTTGTATCTAAATAGTAAAATGGTCGACTGCAGGATACAAGTTCTTCTTCCAGCTACCGAAAAAAAAAACACATTTGCTTAGGACGTCAAAGCACGGTTAGGTTTAAATTAATTATTAATAAGTCATTGACATTTGGTTTAACAGTTGTTAATCAAATACAAAATGTATTAGTAATTTATCTTCCGGCGTGTTCATTTTTAGTTTGTATAAACGATTGTTAACTTCATAATCAAACTACGTTTCTTACGTCTATACTTTCTCGGACCATCAGACTTTAGCGTATGGAGGCATCGCACTTTAGCGTATAGAATCGCACTTTAGCATGACCATCGCACTTTAGAGTCCTACATATATAGCTAGAAATGCCAATTTTCTACAGAGATCATTAACCTGTCAACACTGAGGTTGTGAGTCAGAACCCCCTCACGACAGGTACATTTGACTCCTATCTTAATTGACTAGGAATGCCAGTTTTCTACAGAGATTACTAACCTGTCAACACCGAGGTTGTGAGTCTGAACCCCCTCACGACAGGTACATTTGTCTTAATTGACTAGGAATGCCAGTTTTCCTGCTGAAGGTTGATGGTTCTCAATGGGGACCTTCAGCAATAAAACTGGCCGACCAATATTGTCAAGCATGCTGAAAGGTTGTTTAACAACAACCAACCATATCAAGAATGTATAATAAATATTCAAAGGAAAACATTTTTGTTCAAAGATGCTTATTTTGAAAAAAAAACAAAATAAATGTGGATAGTGTCCATGTGGACACAGATGATGCCCCCACTTGCATATCATATAGTTATAAAGGGACATAACTGAAGAACGGTAAAAGTGACGCTTCCCAAATTTGAATTTGATCGGAGTTTTGTGGTAATAAGAATTGTGTGTAAGTCTCATAACATTTGGTTGAGGCTAACTTAAGTAGAGAACAGAAACTAAATCTTCAGCAATGTTTCTATTTGTAAACATGCATAACTCTAGAACAGTTTTATAACATTTTGTTGAGACAAACTAAAGTTAGAGAACGGAAACGAAAAATTCAGCAATCTTTATGTTTATAAGGGACATAATTCAAGAATGGTAAAAGTGTAGCCACCAAATTTCGTACTTAATCTGTATTATGTAGTAATAAGCATTGTGTATAAGTTTCATAACATGCATGGTTGAGGCAAACTCAAGTTAGAAAACGGAAACAAAAATTTGTACTTGATCTTAGTTTTGTGGTAATGAATATTGTGTATAGGTTTCATAATGTTTGGTTGGGGCAAACTTAAGTTACAGAATGGAAACTAAAAATTTTGCAATCTTTCAATTTATAAAGGGGTATAACTCAATAATGGTTAAAGTGACACTACCTAAATTCAACTTGATCTGTGTTTTATCAGTGGAAGTCAAAATTAAACATTGCATTGTATAAAGCATTGATTGTAGTTGATTCAACATCCAATCATGGACAAAGGGTGATAACTCCAATTTTAAAAATTACTTGATATTTAGAAGAAAATAAAAATTTTGCAATTTTTTTCATTTATAAAGGGGCATAACTCTAGAATAGTTTAAGTGACACCACCAAAATTCAAACCTGATCTGTGTTTTGTGGTAATAAGCATTGTGTATAAGTTTCATAACATTTGGTTGAGGCAAACTTAAGTTAGAGAACAGAAACTAAAAATTTTGCATTTTTTCCATTTATAAAGGAGCATAACTCTAGAACAGTTAGAGTGAAGCCACCAAAATTCAAACTTGATCTGTGTTATGTGGTAATAAGCATTGTGTATAAGTTTCATAATATTTAGTTGAGGCAAACTCAAGTTAGAGAACGGAAACAAATTTGGGACGTACGGACGTACGTTCAGACTGACAAGGGTAAACTTAATGCCCCCACCACTACGGCGGTGGCATAAAAAACATTACCTTATTCTGATATCTATAATAGATTATCTATGGTTCTATAAATGAGAGTTCCTCAGCTACAATATCATTGTAGTTCAACAGCCCTGAGATGAGATATAGCTGATCAGAAACATTTTCAAGTTTGAAAGACCATTGATTATCAGTTAAATGCTGTTTTTAGGCAAAGTCAATGATCTAGGCTTATGATGTCATGCATTCTCTTTATTCTTAGACTGAGAAAAACCCACATTATTAGATTTGCTTGAGATAATGATTTATCTTCATAAAGTTCAAAAGAAAATTTGTGAAAACAGCTATAAGTAAAGAATATTGTGTTTTCTTCACATTAATAATTGAAAAATATGGACAAGTGGTCATGAATGAGCTAGCAAAAAAGCTTCACATTGAGTAAAGTCCCTGACACACAATATCTATAATAAACCAATAACTTCTTATTGTGAAGTCACTGATAGGTTCTGCTAACGTCTCAAAGACTTGATACCAGAATTACAGAGCGACTGAGAAGGTTGATATATAAAGATCGTAGGATAATTGGTTCTTTTTAAAAGATATTGATTCCAATGTAAAACTCTTAATACAAATATAGAAATGGTGGTATTGCTTTATCATAAAAGTACATCATACCTCAAAAGGATAGGTTTTCTGTAATTCCTGTAACTCTTCCTTACTGAATACTTTACCAATAAAACGCTTGGCATCGTAGATGGTATTTCTAGGATTATGTTCTGACTGAGCTACTGCTTTATATCCCACAAGTATTCCATCATTGCTAAAAACAACAAAGAATGGACAAATATAGAATTACCCATCATAAGCCCTGGGTCCACTATTACTAAAAACAACAAAGAAATTCCTATCAAAAGCCTCATCATCCACAAAGAAAAATCAGAGTACCGGTACTCCACTAGTGTCCTATCATTAATGAAATATACAAAAAATGTCCATTATATTACCAGCATGACCAGTGCACCAACATCACTATAAAAACAAAATAAATTAAGATTACCCTATCAGTGTCCCATTTTCATTAAAAAATAAATTCATATTTACTACATCTACTACCAGTGTCCAATCGAATATCATTTTACAAGTGGAATATTTTTAGTTTCCATAACGATTGAAAATTGGATATCGCTTGGTACATACTGGAGTTATTCAATTTAGAAATAATAAACAAGACCTAGGCAATATCCAATTCTCACAAGTTGTTAAACCTATTACTCCCAAACATTATCTTGACCAGTGTAAAAAAAGAAAATTCCATGAAATTTTGTGCTTATCTTTTCACAGAAACAGAATTACCTCATAAGTCTATTTCAAGTGTCAAACATTATCATCAGACATTTTCAAGCTTTTCTACAATGTACACCATGGCCACAGAATAGAATCAAATTTAACAAAAACATTTTCGAGTGAAACATGTCAGGACTGTTCCAGATTCAAACGCATGAGGGGGAGGGGGCACTTTTGTAGACCCCAAACCAGCCATAATATTAAATTTACATTTGAATTATAATTCTTACAAATTTCTAAAAAAAAAAATCAACCACCCATAGTTTATTAATTTGAGTCACTCCCATCATGCCTATATGCATCCCCCAATGAGTTAAAATCTGTTCTTAGTGTTTTGTATACAGTACAGTGTGATAAGAAAATATTTCTTCAAGTGGGAAATGGATAATAGGCCACAATCATAAGAGAATATACATTACATTCTGTTTTTTTAATAATTTGAGTCTAAGCAAAAACATCAAAGCTATTAATATCAATTTATCCAAGTGCAGGATTTTCTCGCTGCGTTGAAGACATAATTTGCAATGGTAGCCTTGGGATGTTTTCTGCTCTTTGGCCGGGTTGTTGTCTCTTTGACACATTCCCTGTTTCCATTCTCAATTCTTATATTTATTCCTGATTATGTATTAATACCTATATGCTACAACACTAGGGATGCATTTATGTCCATCTTGTGCTTCTAGGATATCCACCTTACCACTGACTGCATGATATACACCAACACATGAATATGTAGTACCTGAAATATAATCACAGGTGATATTTCTTTACATCTTAAGGAGGACAGACTAACAGCTCTTTATGAAATCTTCAAATCCTGATAAAACAGTCTAGCAAGCTTCATATAAAAGATATGGATGTCATTTGTATTCTAGTTTTGTTATGTTGCTGTCTTATTGATGTATACAAGTATTACTTTTTATTTAAATTCTTTAACCCTGCACTAGTGTGATCCTCACTTGTTTCAGAAAACCAATCCATTCACAGCTTGCTGTTACAAACCTGTCTATTCAGATATTTCTGTTACAAACCTGTCTTTTCAGATATTTCTATTACAAACCTGTCTTTTCAGATATTTCTATTACAAACCTGTCTTTTCAGATATTTCTGTTACAAACCTGTCTTTTCAGATATTTCTATTACAAACCTGTCTATTCAGATATTTCTGTTACAAACCTGTCTTTTCAGATATTTCTATTACAAACCTGTCTTTTCAGATATTTCTATTACAAACCTGTCTTTTCAGATATTTCTATTACAAACCTGTCTATTCAGATATTTCTGTTACAAAGGACATTGCATAATTATTTTCAAAACTTTTTCTTTTAAGATATTGCTATAAGCATGATAAGTAATACATTGTATTCTGCTTAACAAAACCAAGTGATTCATAAGTAATTGCAAGGAAACGACTTAAAAGTGCCATTTTCCAATTGCAATAGATCAACGACATGTGATACATATGTACGAGATAAATAATACTTACATGTAGCTACATAAAAAAGTCTATTAACAATGATAATGTACAAAAATGTATCCATTCAAAATAATTCATCAAAATCTTTGGTTTTCAAATGGTTTAGGTTAGGGTATAAATTCTGCTGATCTAATTCAATCAGGATTACTTATATTTCTACCAAGTTCTAAATACCAACTATTTCTGGTTTTTAGTCACACAGTAAAGGGTAGACAAGGTTGAAGATAGATGTAAATATTATTCCATTAAAAATACTTACCAAGATCTATACCAACTATCTTTGGTTTCGGTGGGGGCAAATAATGCTGAGCAAAGTATCCAGCCAAAAAAATAGCAAGTATTGATGTACCTACAAAATAAAATATATGGGTTTTAAGATCCTTTTAAACCTCTTATATCATGTATATGGCATGGACACGGTTTCATTCAGCTGTAGTATATTCTTGTCAGTAATTACATGTTTAAGCTTGGTGAAAGGGACAGTAGAATGCAATCTATGTATCATGTGCATATAGTTGACCCAAAGAATTAAATGTGTATTTTTAGATTTTTATTTTTAAGACCAGAAACACATCAGATTGTATCAAGTTATTTTTAAGACCAGAAACACATTAGATTGTTTAAAGTTATTTTTAAGACCAGAAACACATTAGATTGTTTAAAGTTATTTTTAAGACCAGAAACACATCAGATTGTTTAAAGTTATTTTTAAGACCAGAAACACATTAGATTGTTTAAAGTTATTTTTAAGACCAGAAACACATTAGATTGTTTAAAGTTATTTTTAATACCAGAAACACATCAGATTGTTTAAAGTTATTTTTAAGACCATAAACACATCAGATTGTATCAAGTTATTTTTAAGACCAGAAACACATTAGATTGTTTAAAGTTATTTTTAAAACCAGAAACACATTAGATTGTTTAAAGTTATTTTTAAGACCAGAAACACATTAGATTGTTTAAAGTTATTTTTAAGACTAGAAACACAAAGGGAAATGTGTTACATACACGTATCAAACCTGCTTATGTCGTTTCTAGTTTTATCAACTGAAATGTTTCATATTTTTCATGTCAGGGCCTTTTATAGCAGACTATACAGTCTATGGGTTTTTCTCATTGTTGAAGGCCATACGGTTGCCTATAATTGCTTACATCCACTTCATTTAGCCTTTGATAGATAGTTGTCTCATTGGTAAGCATACCATACACTGTATCTCCTTATTTTTATTATGTTTAAACATGTTAAACATGATAAAATAATGCAAATAATATGAGGGTATATATTACTACATTTTGTACAAAGATCTTTTTATTTCTATTTCAGGGATGATGAATTAGTAGAGAAGGCTGAAATAAAAAAAAAAGCATGAAATTTCAAAAAAAAATCCTCTGAAAGTCGGAAAAATTGGGGCATTCGTAAACATGTAAACCAACAAATTAAAATCAAAATCCTTTGATATACATGATATATATGTATATTGACAATCACACATTTGTACCACACATCCATTTTTCTATGTGTACATGTAAGTACATGTATGCTTAAAGTGTGTAAACACTTTTTAGCAAAAAATAACAAGAGTGCACATGCTGAAATGTGTCGCCTGTTTTACTGACCATTGATTTTATGTTGAAAGTCTTAAAGAGAAAGGTTTTACTAAAAACCATTACAGAAACTTAACATTTTTAAAAATCTATGACAATGAGGTCAAGGTCAGATAAATTGTGTCAGACAGACATATACACCTTTCAATTTTTTATACACCAAATATAGTTGACCTATATATATTGCATATGCTAATCATGCTAATTGAAAAACAGACCAAAACACAAAAACTTAAAATTGAAATGAACCATACAGATATGAGGTCAAGGTCAAAGGACACCTACCAGAGAGACATGTGCACCTTACAATTATTCCATACACCAAATATAGCTGACCTATTGCTATTAGTATTTGAAAAAGAGACCAAAACATAAAAACTTACGATTAACCATTGAACCATAAAAATGAGGCCAAGGTCAGATGATACCTTCCAGACAGACATGTACCCCTTACAATCATTTCATACATTAAATATAGTTGATATTGTTTATACATGTAGTACTTGAAAAACAGACAAAAACACAAAAAACTTAACATTGACCAATGAACCATGTAAATGATGCCAAGGTCAGATGATACCTGCCAGACAGACATGTACACCTTAAAATCTTTACATACATGTACATTTTGTACACCAAATATAGTAGACCTATTGCTTACTGGCTTATAGTACTTGAAAACAGACCAAAACACAATTCTGAATCAGGGTGCTGGAAATTTCAATACATCAGAAGGGTGATTTTCATCCTCCCAACCACATCTCTGGTATCAAGACCAGAGTTTAAACTAGAATGGGTACTTTAGGAGCCTTGGTTGGTCAAAATTTCCCGACGACTTAGACCTGAGGATCTATCTGCTGATATCTCTTAGGTTTTTCTGTTCCTGCTGAGTAGCCCAGCGGTGCTCTTGGACTTCTGGTTCCTCCACTATAATTACAGACTTCCCAGTGTCCTAGCACTTCCTTTAAATTTGTGTTGGGACGAGGATTGTCCTTGTAAATATTGTTATGAATACGTTACGGACACACCTTTATTAATCATGATAGGAAGTAAACAAAGATTTCCACTGTACCCTATCAGCTCTGAATAACATAAAAATCTACCAGTGCTCAGGGATCTCCATGGATGAATATATATATATTTAATGATGGAGGAACTTTCACCAGGACAAAACCCTGTGTGTCATGATCGAAAGTATTTCATCCCTCCATTAAATTGTAAGGAATAGTGAACAGACCATATATATATTGCTCATTATATTTATTTCATTATAAAATAACCAATATTTTCATTTATTGTCATTTGTAACAATTTCAATGTCAAGCCTACTTGGCTCCCCTTAGTCAAGAATGACCACTTGCTGTCCTTAAATTAATGTTCCCAAGTTATTTTCTTGCTATTTTGGGAATTGTTCAGGACAAAAATCTAGGCCAAAAAAAATAATATGTGTGTTTCCGCTAACCCTACCTACCCTACTTTTTAGTGCCTACCGTTTTGAACAAGCAAGTGTTTAAGTCAGACAGATTCCCTAGTAGTAACCAGCAAAATTCAGAATTACATTACGAAATTTCTTAAAATTTTCAAGTTGCAGTTAATATTCATGTATTTACTTTTAAACTTATAAAGTGATTCAATGTTATCGATAATTGTTGTACTTGTGTTATTTGGCATGAAATTATGTTCTGTTTTACGTCTTATTTGACACTTATTTAAAAAGGGGGATGCTGATTGCGTAAGTCAATAAAAGCACGTTTGACTTGTTAAACTAATTATTAACTTTTTTCTTGGTAACTGGATTTAAAATGTATTTTTTAATTTAAATTTTCATTAGCATTAGCTGAAACTTAATTAAATAATGCAATTAATTGTCTATCTTGATCAAGTGTTCTCCTGTCAGGTGTGCCGATCTACCTCTACAAGTGAATAGGGATCGTAAGCCTAATATCCCTCAGGACTTGTAAACTGAATCAGGAGGACCATTTGGATTATAACAGGTTGGGAACAAACCCTCTATATGGTGTTTATACCTTTATAGAGGGATAATCCTTCTATAGAGGGATAAAATTATCCCTCTATAGAGCGGTATTTTTGTTTAAACTGGACTTAAAGCAAAATAGGGCATATTGGCGTTCTCTACTTATTATGGCAGTAACCTGCAACATTTGATGCACCAATCGATGTACTCAGTTTAATATGCACATGCCCAGTTTACTGCTAAACTGACTGAATATTATTTATACAATCCATTGTTGACCATGATTGAAAGCTGTGATGATCAGGTCAATTCTACTCAGTTATGCCTCACTGAACAGAATTTCTATTGTTAGATTTAACATAAAATTTAAAGGTCAACTGTCCCTTTTGTTGTTGATCAGGAGTTCAGATTGATATACAATAGATTTCAAGTTCTGTCACTTTAGCAGAAAAGTGGGCATCCCAATTTTTAATAAAGTGCAATTATTGATGCATATAATGCTATAGATTATAGCCAGTATAACTAGAAAATGCCAATATGCCCTATTTTGCTTTAAATCCAGTCTAAACAAAAATACCCCTTTATAGAGGGATAATTTTATCCCTCTATAGAAGGATTATCCCTCTTTAAAGGTATAAACACCATATAGAGGGTTTGTTCCCAACCTGTATAATACAATAAGGGTTATGCAATTCATTTTCATTGCTAACAAAAATGGCGGCTAGCAAAACAAAAAACAAATTTTGACTTCACTTTTCAATCATAGCACAATTACATGACAATGACGAGGATCATTTGACGATGGCGGAAGATGATTTAACAATGGCTGGGATCATATAACGATGTGGAATATAATTTAATGATGGTGGTCCTCCATCATAAAACAGGTCATGGAGATCACTGTGCTAGTACATATATATAGCACATAAACATCATTGAAACCGTCCAATTGCTTGGAAACATGCCATAAATGTAGGTTTTCCATACTTTCTTTCTAATTCCCCCTCATATGGCTCCATCCAAAAAATTTGCCTCTTATTCAATATGGCTGGAATAACTGTGAAATTACCTATTCTCTCCTGCATTTTGTGTTACAGATTATTCATTTTCATCCTGGCTTGAGCAAGATTATCATATTTCAATATCCTCCTTATATACTAGTAAAAAACGGGTAATTCCAACCCAGACGTCAAAATCGGAAAATCATTACAGAAAAAGAATATATTACATTTTCCTAATCATAGGGCTCATTACAAGCATTTTAATCAAGTTACAGATACAGACAATACAATATAATTATGACTATATATATATTATTTTTTTTTAACAGACACCACCATATGTTACTTGACCATAGTACTATCTCCAAACTCCTGTTTCAAATGTTTCGGTTTTTTTTATGGAATTAAAGCCTTTAACACTACATGGTATTTAGATGAAATAGTAAAATGGAAAACAGATAATCGTGACCAGACTCTGTGTTTACCTAAAATGATAAAAGTAGCACCCATCCTCAAAGATTCAAGATTCACGTTTTTTTGTTTTCCCGGAAGTGAACGTGTCTAAACATCTTGGTCACGTAAGTGGTTGAGAAAGTTCTTTAGATGCTTGAATCCAGGTCTATCTCAGTACCAATAATACAGTAACCAAATTATCAACAACAATGTACCTATGGTTTATTTCGATTGTCAAAAAGCAATACAAATCTAGTTTTGAGTTTCCTAAACCACGGTTGACCCCTTTCCTCTGAAAAAATACCTACATTTGATAAAAAATGTGATAGAATATGTTACCAGACTGATCTTCTCAGACTCTGATCCCTTTTTCAACCATTTACGGATTATACTGAGTCCCATATATATAAAAGTCTGTAATCTGTTTTGTTATTTCATAGTTGTGATGTAAAGAAAATAAAAAGAATAGTTCTAGATTTATCAAATGTATATAGGTCTATATGCATTGTTCTATTTAAATGATTTTTTTTTCTATTTTAAATGTGTTTAGGTTTTTCATGCGGCCGGGTGAGGTGCTACCTGATGCCTGAGCAATGATTTGCGGAAAATCGTATGCTCCTCAGTACATTTGCAAATAAATGTATTATGCACCTATGATAAAGATGTTTTAACTAAAAATCTAGAGTTTAATCCGGGTGCCCGCCAAGTTGTCGGTGAAAGTACCATAGTGGTAATTAAGGACACAAATCATTCCTTCCACTATGTATGCTCCCTTCGTCAAAAAGTGCAAAATCAAATCGGTTAAGATACACTAATTGAAACAAAGGATTTACTGATCGGCTCATTCTAAATGCATCAACGGAAGATGACTCGAAATGCGCAGAGCATATGGCAAAATCAAAGGTACTTTATTTAAATCATTTGCACCACGTGACTTTGTCCCTTTTGATCAAATTACTTCCCTTAGCTTAAGATTGAAAATATAATTTATTATAGATTTGCGGATAATCCAGTCCTTTTCCGTCATGTATCTATAATGTTTCTTTAAAAACTTCCTTTGGCGGATATTTACAAAAATGCTGTGTAATTCTATGGGAAAATGCTTAAAATTTGACTTTTTACGAAATGGGAAGGTTGAAATCATCATGTTTTTAAAAGAATTTGGCCAAAAACTTAAGAAAGCAGGTAAGTTAAAAGTTATTTAACTTTAAAATTCAACCTACAAGGTGTTCCCCTACATGCGAACAAATCATGAACAATATCTTCTTGCATGATGTGTATTTCTGTTTTGAATCTTGCTATTTTACGATTTTACGTCATTTTATTTGATCTTATATAGCAATTACACAATGGTTACGCTTCCGATTTTTAAACTAAAAAGGCCGAAAGATTTCAGAGTAGACAATGTCCATTTGTACACGGACAGAAGCCTAATAACATGTACAATTCACCTATATGCGAACAAATTGTTCATTCGACATTGGTATTTGCAAATTGACATTTTTATTAAAAGGGCTTATATAATCCTATTGTAATGGCTGCCGTCTTCAGACATTAATTCTATTTATCTATTGATTATAAAAAAGCTTCTAACAAAGTTTCATACTGGCAAAATAATTATGTTCATAATTCATGGCATACAGGAAAATGAAAGTGGTGGTAGAGAAAGAAAAATCAGAAGTAACAGTTCGACTCGTGGGTTCCACAAGATAACTGTACAGTCTAAGGACTTTCCATATTATATAAACGACCTCCCAGATGCAGTAAAATCTTCATTGCGACTTTTGGCCGATGATTGCCTACTCTATAAAACCATAAACATCAAAATACAATAACATTCTCCATGAAGCCATTAAGACTAAGGTACAGTACATGGGCAATGTCACAGATTTTGGTAAAATTGTGCATACAGATTTAGCTCGGCCTCGTTGAACTTTAACTGAAAATCGAAAAAAAATAATGCGTTTTTCTATTTATTTTTCTTAAATATTACTGAATAAATTTTTCAAAAAGTTAAATATTTGTATAAAAAGCACATAAAATTGGCCAAACTCTCTTAAATTTGTCTGAAAACCATCAAATCTCCAATTAATAATCCATAGATTTTTCTTTAAAAATGATACGTTGTTGATACGAACGTTTATCTTTTATTATTATACTTCACGTCAAAATGCCACATTTTGATTGGTTAATACGAGGGAGACAATTTACTCTATCCCATGGCAAATACTCTATTACCCTTCACAGAGACGCTTGCACAAGTGTGCGCTTTAATAAATACGGATGATTGTTATGTACAAGACGACATAGTTTATTACTTTGAATTTGAAATTTAATAGACAGTAATAACAGAACTTTCAGTATAATAAATTAAATAACACATATCTGAGAGGGTGATAGAGCAGATTGTTACCCTTCGAAAAGACATTGTCAACCTTGGCTTCGCCTCAGTTGACAATGTTTTCTCGGGGTAACAATCTGTTCTATCACCCTCTCAGCTATGTGTTATTTATATATAACCTATTACCCCTGACCAGTTTTCACAGGAAACAAACTACCAAACAAACATTTCACTGGGAAACAATACATGTTCATCTATTATCAATGAATAGTATCCCCGGGAAACTAACAACCAGAAAATATTTCCTTGAAAAACTATACATTTTCATTTTTTTATCAATGAATAAACTTAACTTTAAAAGTTTAATTTTAAGATTACACGAACAAAAAGGAATATCTCATATAGGGTTATTTTTTATGAAAAGGAATAGACAAAAAAAATATTTTTTTAACGAAAATGAATAATTTCCATAGGAAACAGATAACACAAATATTTCCCTGAGGAACTAAACATATTCCCCTGGTATTCATGAAAAGTTTCCCAGGGAAATAGAAAGTACATGTGTAAGATGGTACTATTTACGCGTTAGGTATTTCCGATATTTTGCACCCGAAATCTTATAGTTTCTCAGGAAAATATTTCTTATAAGGTTTCCATAGGAAATAAATTGACGACAACTTTAGTCAAGACACCGATTGTCCCACTTTTTGAAATTACAGGTAAAAAAGTAATGAAATTTTGTGGGACAATCGGGAAGATGTTTGTGGGACAATTGGGAAGTTTAAATGTGGGACAATTGGGAATTGTTTTGATAGTAATTAAATTGTTTTTATAGTGTGTAGCAGGTAATTAAAGGTAACTAACCAAAGTAACTTATAAAATAAGAAATATGAACAAATAATAATATTAACATATTTCTTTTTTGCATATATTAGCAACAAAGTATCATCAAACACAGACTATAATATATATTTAGTCATAAAATAGCACATATCAAGCACTTTTCAATTCTACATTGATATATAATAAAAAGAGTTTCACTTAAGCACACATAATAAACAGCTAAATACAATAAAGTACACACAATAAACAAATTAATTCATTAAAGCACACACATGACACATGACACAAAGAGCAGATACTATTAAGCACGCACAATGCATAAGGTACAACAATAAAGCACACATGATTCATAACTTAAACATCACAACACATCATATAATTGCAACAAACTTAGTCAAAATGTAACAAATAAGTCAGAAGCAATGTCAGCATACTGAAACACAATAACTTCGCTATTCTGAAGATGGTCTGAGTTCCTGTAGGCATTGGTTGACTTGTTTGTATTTTGTTCTATATGTTGGTCCTACTCCCCAATCTTGGTACTGAATGATAGTCATTTCGTTTCCTGCCTGCTCTTCTTTAAGATATTTCAGTAGCTTTTATACTATGTTTGGGAGTGGTACTTAGATCATCTTCTTCAAGCTACTGTGACATCCATCGAGGTGGTTTGTCGTCCTTGGTCCTTCGGTTTGGTAATGGTTCCATAGCTGCCTGTTGCTTTCAATCAAGTATGTTGTGACGTTATCCGTAAACGAAGTGATATTTGCTGTTGAGTCCAAATTTTCCAGGTCTTCAAGTGTATGGAACCAGACGTCGTCTTTTTCTGTATGTGGTACCAGAGGAAGAACTGCTGCCAACCGTATAAGTTGATGAATGTCTGGTTCTCCTTTATAGTTAAGAGACGAGTCTTGCTTACTGCACTTTTCGCCAAATACACTGAGTATAGTGAAACAAAATGTCCTTCAATAGTTTTCCTGGAAAGGATACTCTGGCAGAATTCTGAACAGCAGCTTCGTAATCAATGAAGAAAGTTGTTGGGTTCAGGTTAATCTGACGTTTTAATTTAATTTTAATTTAATAATATTTTATTGTATTAATCAAGCAATAGGATTGGACACAAGTTATTACAACTTATATTAAGTCCTCTCCTTACATACACAATACACATATATGATGACAGCAAACACATACATAGTATGGCGACAGTTATAAAGGAAGGAGTCACATATTGGCTTGGCAACAAAAAAAAGCAAATAGGACAGAGAGAAAAAAGAAAGCTGCTGACTTAAAACGTTAAAATCTTTTTGACTGTTTAATGAAATAACGAACTTTATCAAAAATTTTAGAGTTAGTTTCGTAATTATATGCATCTTTTCCAAACAATAGCGTTCTTTGGCATTCTAGAAAGTAATGGATGGCATCTTCAACAGGAGAACCGAAGGAGCATTTAGAATCATTGCATGTATCATTTTTAAATTTATTTAAAAATTTTAATAAAAAAATGTAATTAAAAATACAATACTGATATTTGTTTTACAAATAAGAGTAACATTATATTTTATAACTCAGAAATTTTATATTATTTCATCAAAAGTGCTTTAATGTGATAATTTAAAAGATCATATTTTAATTCTTGTTTATTTAGTAAAACAAACAACAAATACCTTGTTTATTTAAGAACATTTTACATAATAAAATAATGTGGGACAATCAGAACTTTTCATGTGGGACAATCAGAACTCTAAAATTTTAAAAAGTGGGACAATCGGGAATAAACCTCTCAAAATTTCAACTTATTCTTTGAGAAAAACAGTGATCAATCGATTTGAACCATCTAGAAGACATCAGTAGTGTTCGCACAAAACGTTGAGAGCTTCAAAACACGGACGGCGCTCTCTCGATCTTGTACTAAAGCCA